CAGAGAGAGACACACACACAGACATACAGAGAGAGACACACACACAGACACCAGAGAGACACACACACAGACAGGGACACAGAGAGAGACACACACACAGACAGGGACACAGAGAGAGACACACACACAGACAGGGACACAGAGAGAGACACACACACAGACAGGGACACAGAGAGAGACACACACACAGACAGGGACACAGAGAGAGACACACACACAGACAGGGACACAGAGAGAGACACACACACAGACAGGGACACAGAGAGAGACACACACACAGACAGGGACACAGAGAGAGACACACACACAGACAGGGACACAGAGAGAGACACACACACAGACAGGGACACAGAGAGAGACACACACACAGACAGGGACACAGAGAGAGACACACACACAGACAGGGACACAGAGAGAGACACACACACAAACACACCACCAAACTGGCGATCATTGCTTTCCCACTCAGAGAAGGTAATCTGTGTCTGTCTGTCTGTCTGTCTGTCTGTCTCTGTATGTGTGAGTATGTCTCTCTGTGTCTGTGTGTGTCTCTCTTACTCTCTGTCTGTATGTGTGTATGTCTGTATGTGTGTGTGTGTGTGTTTGTGTGTGTATCTCTCTCTCTCTGTGCCTCTGTCTGTGTATCTCTGTGTGTGTGTCTCTGTCTGTGTATCTGTGTCTGTGTGTGTGTGTCTCTGTCTGTGTATCTCTGTGTCTGTGTGTGTGTCTCTGTCTGTGTATCTCTGTGTCTGTGTGTGTGTGTCTCTGTCTGTGTATCTCTGGTCTGTGTGTGTGTCTCTGTCTGTGTATCTCTGTGTCTGTGTGTGTGTCTCTGTCTGTATATCTCTCTGTGTGTGTGTGTCTCTGTCTGTGTATCTCTGTGTCTGTGTGTGTCTCTGTCTGTATATCTCTCTCTGTGTCTCTATCTCTCTCTCTGTCTAAGTATATGTCTGTGTTTGTGTCTGTGTGTGTGTCTGTGTCTCTCTCTCTCAGTCTGCGTCTGTGTATATCTCTTGGTGTCTGTGTGTGTCTCTCTGTCAGTGTCTCTCTCTGTGTCTGTGTGTGTGTCTGGGTCTCTCTCTCTGTCTGTCTGAGAATACGTGTGTGTGTGTGTCTGTTTGTGTCTCTCTGTGTCTGTATATATGTGTGTGTGACTGTTTGTGTCCCTATTTATGACTATGTATCTGCCTGTATTTGTGCCTCTGACTGTGTGTGTGTAGGTCTGTGTGTCTCTGTGTGTGTATATAAATATACCTGCTATGCCTCTGGGTATGTGTCTCTGTGTCTGTATCTGTCTGTGTCACTGTATGCGTCTCTGTGTGTGTGTGTGTGTGTCTGGGTGTTACTCTGTGTGACTGTGTGTGTGTGTGTGTCTGGGTGTTACTCTGTGTGACTGACTGTCTGTGTGTGTCTGCCTCTATATATGTGTCTGTGTGTGTCTCTCTCTATGTCTCAGTCTTTCTTTGTCAGTGTGTATGTATGTCTCTCTCTCTCTCTGTCTGTGTGTGTGTCTGTGTCTCTTTGTGTGTGTCTGTCTGTGTATGTGTGTGTGTGTATCTCTGTGTGGATGTGTGTCTCAGTCTTCTCTGTGTCTGTGTGTGTATATGTCTGGCTCTGTGTGTGTGTCTCTTTCTGTGTCTGTGAATGTGTGTGTGGGTGTGGGTGTGTGTCTCTGCCTGTGTGTGTGTGTGTGGGGGGGGGTGGGGGGAGGTGTGGGTGTGTGTCTCTGCCTGTGTCAGTGTGTGTGTGGGGGGGGGTGGGGGTGGGGGGGGGGGTGTGGGGTGTGTGTGTCTGTGTGTGTGTGAGTGTGTGTCTCTGCCTGTGTCTGTGTGTGGGTGTGGGTGGGTGTCTCTGCCTGTGTCTGTCTGTGTGTGGGGGTGTGTGTGTGGGTGTGTGTGTGGGTGTGTGTCTCTGCCTGTGTCTGTGTGTGTGGGTGTGTGTGTGGGGGGGGGGGGAGGTGGGTGTGTGTGTGGGTGTGTGGGTGTGGGTGTGTGTGGGGGTGTGGGTGTGGGTGTGTGTGGGTGTGGTGTGTGTGGGTGTGTGGGTGTGTGTGTGGGTGTGTGGGTGTGTGTGTGGGGGTGTGTGGGTGGGTGTGTGCGGGTGTGTGTGCGGGTGTGTGTGTGTCACTTATCACTGACATCGTCAACCTGTCCCTCTCCTGTGGCTCTGTCCCCATTCCCTTAAAAACTGCCACCATCACTCCCACCCTGAAAAAACCCTCTCTTGATGCGTCGCAGCTATCAAGTTACCGGCCCATCTCCAACCTCCCCTTTCTCTCCAAGGTCTTGGAAAGAGTTGTGGCCTCCCAACTGCGCTCTTTCCTCTCCAACCACTCACTATTCGAACCCCTTCAGTCAGGTTTCGGTGCTGCCCATAGCACAGAAACTGCCCTGGTCAAGGTCACCAATGATATCCTGACCATCTGTGACCAGGGCTCCCTCTGCCTCCTCGTCCTCCTCGACCTATCGGCAGCATTCGATACGGTCGACCACGCTATCCTACTCCACCGCTTGTCCTCCCACCTCAACCTTCAAGGCACTGTCCTTGAGTGGTTTAGGTCGTACCTCTCCCACCGTCTTCACTTTGTCTCGACGAATGGCTTCTCCTCCACCCCCCGTACTGTCTCGTGCGGTGTCCCTCAGGGCTCTGTCCTCGGTCCCCTCCTCTTCACCCTCTATATGCTCCCCCTGTGGTGACATCATCCGCAGACATGGAGTTCACTCCCACATGTATGCGGATGACACCCAACTCTACCTTTCCTCCTCTACCCTCAACTCCACGACCCCCGATGTCCTGACAGCTGTCTGTCCAACATCGAGTCCTGGACGAGAGATAACTTCCTTCAGCTCAACGTGCGCAAAACTGAGGCCCTCCTGATTGGCTCACGTCAGCGCCTCCGCACCTCAGGCGCTGACACCATCAGCATCCAAGGCCGCACTCTCCACCTCTCAAAGCCATCAGGAACCTCGGGGTTCCCCTCGACCCTGAGCTGTCCTTTCTCCCTCACATCCGCACCACAACTGGCACCGCCTTCCATCACCTCCGGAACATCGCCAGACTACGGCACTACCTCACCCCTCACGCGGCTGAAACTCTGGTCCACACCTTTATCACCTCAAGGCCGGACTATGGGAACTCTCTCCTCGTCGGCCTTCCCGGCCCTCCCTCCACACTGCAGGTCATTCAGAACTCTGCAGCACGTGTACTGTCCCACACCAGACACCGCGACCACATCACTCCCACCCTCACCCTCGCCCTCACCCTCGCCCTCACCCTCGCCCTCACCCTCACCCTCACCCTCACCCTCACCCTCACCCTCGCTCGCCTCCACTGGCTCCCCATCCCCCAGAGGATTGATTTCAAGATCCTCATCCTCACCTACGAGGCCATTCACGGCCTTGCTCCCTCCTACCTCTCCAACCTACTATCCCGCTACCTACCTGCCCGTACCCTCCGTTCCTCTGGCTCCGGTCTGCTCCACGTCCCCCGCCCCAACCGCCCTACCATCGGTGGCCTTCAGCCTCTCAGCCCCGAGGCTCTGGAACTCCATACCCAGTGCCTTCGCCGCCTCCTCCCTTTCCTCCTTCAAGGCCGGTCTCAAGACCTTTCTCTTTGACCTTCAGCCTTCAGCTCCGCTCTCGACTCTCTTCCCCCTCCTCGCTCCCTCCCTTCCCTCCCCTCACCCTGACCATTTCCCCCCTCCTCACTCCCTCCCTTCCCTCCCCTCACCCTGACCATTTCCCCCACTGCTCGGGTCCTGACCCAACTGTACATCGCCTCGGGACGTCCTCCTGACGTGAAAGGCGCTTTATAAATGGAATCTTGTTGTTGTTTTTGTTGTTGTGTGGGGGTCGGTGTGTGTGGGGGTGTGTGGGTGTGTGTGTGTGGGTGTGGGTGTGTGTGTGGGTGTGTGTGTGGGTGTGTGTGGGGGTGTGTGTGGGTGTGTGGGTGTGGGTGTGTGTGTGGGTGTGTGTGGGGGTGTGTGTGTGGGTGTGTGTGGGGGTGTGTGTGGGTGTGTGTGTGTGGGTGTGGGTGTGTGTGTGGGTGTGTGTGGGGGTGTGTGTGGGTGTGTGTGTGTGGGTGTGGGTGTGTGTGTGGGTGTGTGTGGGGGTGTGTGTGGGTGTGTGTGTGGGTGTGGGTGTGGGGGTGTGTGTGTGTGGGTGTGTGTGTGTGGGTGTGTGTGTGTGTGGGGGTGTGTGTGGGGGGGTGTGTGGGGGTGGGTGTGGGTGTGTGTGGGGGTGTGTGTGTGGGTGTGGGTGTGTGTGGGTGTGTGTGTGGGTGTGTGTGGGGGTGGGTGTGTGTGGGGGTGTGTGGGTGTGTGTGTGGGTGTGTGTGTGGGTGTGTGTGCGGGGGTGTGTGTGGGTGTGTGTGTGGGTGGGTGTGTGGGGGTGTGTGTGGGTGTGTGTGGGTGTGTGTGTGTGTGGGTGTGTGGGGGGTGTGTGGGTGTGTGTGTGGGGGTATGTGTGGGTGTGTGTGTGGGTGTGTGTGTGGGTGTGTGTGTGTGGGTGTGTGTGTGGGTGTGTGTGTGGGTGTGTGTGTGGGTGTGTGTGGGTGTGTGTGTGGGTGTGTGTGTGGGGGTGTGTGGGTGTGTGTGTGGGTGTGTGTGTGGGTGTGTGTGTGGGGGTGTGTGTGGGTGTGTGTGGGGGGGTGTGTGTGGGTGTGTGGGTGTGTGTGGGTGTGTGTGGGGGGTGTGTGTGTGTGTGGGTGTGTGTGTGGGGGTGTGTGTGGGTGTGTGTGTGGGTGTGTGTGTGGGTGTGTGTGTGTCAGTGTGAGAGCGATCTGTGCATATTATGCTTTTACTGTCTGCCTTTCAAACCAATTTGTGACTGCCGACAAGAAACATCAGCTGAGATTAGGGAAATGAAGGGACGATCGCCTGGTTTCTTGTTTCCCAAAGATAAAGTACAGCATTAAACCCCAGAGAGAGAGGGAGAGAGAGGGAGAGGAGAGAGAGAGGGAGAGAGAGAGAGAGGAGGAGAGACAGACATGAACAAGCAACGTGTGGGTGTGTGTATGTGGGTGTGAGCTGTCCCTTTAAATAGCCTCTGGTCTCCAGCACAGAGAGAGAGAGAGGGGGAGCAATGGGAAAGGCTCAGGGAGCAGAGAAAAGTGTAATTGGGAATTATCCTGACATCCAGATGGGTCTGAACATAGTCTGACTTTACTGGGAGAGAGAGAGAGAGGAGAGAGAGAAAGGGGAAAAGAAAGGGAAAGAGAGAGAGAGAGAGAGGCAGAGCTCAGATATAGGCAGTAAGTTGAATGAGTCATTCCTGAGATGGAAATCCCTGGGAAGATGCTGTGAATTGGGGGAAAAAAACAGGAAAGTTTCATGTTTGAGAGTTTCAATGAATTTTCCTCTCTGTCCCAGGAATGAAGGGCTTGTTGCTGTGTGTCATAGTGACTGGCAAACTGGTGCAGGTGAGTCTGAGGCTTGTGTTGTTATATTTATTTATGGTCTTAAACATTTTTTTTAGCATAGGGAGGGGAGAGAGAGAGGGAGAGAGAGAGAGGGGGTGGAGGAGTTCTTAAAGTGGGGGAAAAGTTTCTTGTGCAGAGGATGTTTTGGCAAAGTTTGGGGAAAGTTTTGGCAAAGTTAACCGTAAGAAAAGTTTTTTTGTGGGTGAGTGGGGAGGGGTGGGGGGGGGGAGAGAGAGAAAGTGTCTTACAGTCTCCAAAGACTGTGTGCGTAAATGTGTGTATAAGGAGGAAAATCACAACAGCACAGTAATAATAATAATAATCCCTACATTTGATACAGTTCCTTATCACGTCTTTGAGACGTCTCAAAGCGCTTCACAGGACACACTGTAAAGTGAATTGACTGCGTATTTTGTGGGTGAAATGTATAGAGTACAGTGTAGAGTACGTATATACTCTGTGGGGTCCTGTAGCTCAGCGTTTAGAGCACTCGGCTCGCAAGCGAGAGGACCTGGGTTTGATTCCCGGGTACGGCAAACCTTGGGCAAGTTTCCTTACTCCACCCGCGTCTGTTTACCAGCAGTCAGTAGGAACCCGGTTGCTCATCAATTGGCAGATCACTTTTCACAGGTAATAATCCTTTCATATAAACAACAACAATAATAATTTGGTCACTCAACCCACGACTGTTTGTGAGACGCTGCTGTGCGCAATTGGCTGCTGCGTTTCACCCACAAAATACACAGTCACTACACTTTATAGTATATTCTCTTAATTTGTTGTTGTTGTGAAGCATTTTGAGACGTGATAAGGCGCTATATCAAATGCAAGGATTATTATTAGATTAGATTATGTGCATATATATTCTCCAGTATAGAGATGAGAGGGTGTGGTGTACATTTTGAGATAATAAAGGGAGCGATTTTATGGGGGAGGTGTCACTGGGGGGTGAGAATGGGATGGTTAGAAGGGTTCGAGTCTGAAGAGGGGAGAGTGCTTAGAAGAGAAAGGAGGAGATGAGGGAGGGAGGGAGGGAGGGATAAGAATATACATATTACTCACTCAACGCTTGACGACAAGTTCAAAAACTAGAGGAATGCAGAGTTGATGTAACCCAGACTGGAGATGTGTTGTGATGAGTAAACTTCTACTGATCAAACACGTGGCAAAAAAAAACTTAATGTTGTTTTAGGAACAGGGATGAGGGGTGGGGTGGGAGGAATAAAAAGGAGAGGTGTGTGTGTGTCTGTGTGTGTGGTGGGGGGGGGATTTCATACTTACATAGGAATATTTTATATTTTTTGTTGACAAAATAAAAAAAATTCTGATATCCAGATAATAATAATGATAATAATAATAATAATAATCCTGGCATTTGATCCAGCGCCTCATCACATCTTCAAGACGACTCAAAGTTCTACACAGTATATACTGGTAAAGTGGTTGACTGATTTTGTGGTCGAAAGGCGACAGCCAATTGTGCACAGCAGTGTCCCACAAACATAGATTAAGTGACCAAATTATTATTTTGCTTTTGAAGGGATCATTATCCCCAGAAAGCAATCCGCCAATTGACTAACAACCGGGTTCCTACTGACTGCTGGTAAACAGAGGCGTGTGGAGGAAGGAAATTTGCCTCAGGTTTCACCGCGCCCGGGAATCAAACCCTAACTTTGCTGGAGATTTTAATTATAAAAGAGATCAACAACTGTGTTTCTCAATTTGCGTTGAACTAAAAAAAAATGTCACTCAATCCGCAACTGTTTGTGGGGACGCTGCTGTGGGCAATTGGCTGCCGCGTTCCACCCACAAAATACAGTCAATTCACTTTACAGTATAGTCTGTGAAGCGCTTTGAGACGTCTCAAAGACGTGATAAGGCGCTGTATCAAATGCAAGGATTATTATTATTATAACTCTCTCAGAAACAATGTTTTTATCAGGATTTATTGTTTTCTTAAATCTTCGCTGTGTCCTGACCAACAAACTCCCCCAAAACAAAACAAGGAGTAGTGCGATAGTAGTGTCTGAACTGTAAAAAATTATTGAAAGCTGCAGTGTGGAGAGACAGTAAGAAATTGATAAATCTCAGAGACACATCTGTAAAGGATTTGTTAACATCTGTTTGTTTCTGAGTTTGTGTTAAAAAGGCTCAGAAACCATGTTTTTTTGGGGTGGGGGGGGGATGGGGCGGGTAATTTTTTTTCAATCTTCGCTGCTCCTGAGCCAACAACCGCAATGCTGGCCATTAACCGAGTATTTTGTGGGCAAAACACGACAGCAAATTGCGCACAGCATTGTCCCACAAACAGATGTAGATTGGGTGACCGCATTATTATTGTTCGAATTGTTTTTAAAGGGATTATTCCCCCCGAAAGCGATCCGCCAATCGACTAGCAATCGGGTTACTACTCACTGCGGGTAAACGAGGCGTGCGGAGTAAGGAAATGTTTCGCCCTGACCAGACCCGCCCGGGAATCGAACCCAGGTCCTCTCGCTCGCTCGGCGAGGGCTCTAACCCGAGCTACAGGACATGAAAGGCACAGATTCTTATTGATCCTCGTCTGAGTGCCTGGGCTGGGGGAGTGTGTGTGTGTTGCTGGCTGTAGGGCAGACTTTCCTCACTTCCTCTGATGCTCTCGCTCTCCTCAGGTAGTAACGAGGCTCATGTTCTTTACAACCCATCCTGAGCTCCTGGGGTGAACGCTGCATTTAAAGGGGATATGTCTTACGGGAGAGGGAGTGGGGGGGGGGGGGGGGGGAAGGGCGAAACTGCTTTGGCCAAACTTTGTTTCAAAGGGAGTGTATCATTTTCTTTCAGGGGTCTGTGTATGAGTGTGTGAGTGAATGGGGGGGTGTCTGTGTGTGTGAGTGAGTGTATGTGTGTGAGTGGGGGGGAGGGGGCTCTCTGCGTGTGTGTGTGTGTGTCAGTCAGCCTGGCTCAGTCACTCACGCTCTCGCCTCTGGGTCAGAAGTTTGTGGGTTCAAGCCCCACATCAGGACTCAAATCGCACTCCAAGCTGACGCCCCAATGCGTCTGGGGGCTGTGGGGGGAGGGTGATGGGGGGGGTTGCAGTGTCGCAGTTGCCGTCCTTCGGATGAGCCGGACAGAGAACCTCCCTTCTCTTTTCCGGTAGTGTCCGGGATCTTTAACGGTTCACTGTTTGGCTGAATCCAGGTTTTCGAACCTCCCCTTTAACTCTCTCGGCCACGGTCAAGTTGCCTGAACCTCCCCTTTAACTCTCTCGGCCACGGTCAAGTTGCCTGAATCTCCCCTTTAACTCTCTCGGCCACGGTCAAGTTGCCTGAATCTCCCCTTTAACTCTCTCGGCCACGGTCAAGTTGCCTGAATCTCCCCTTTAACTCTCTCGGCCACGGTCAAGTTGCCTGAATCTCCCCTTTAACTCTCTCGGCCACGGTCAAGTTGCCTGAATCTCCCCTTTAACTCTCTCGGCCACGGTTAAGTTGCCTGAACCTCCCCTTTAACTCTCTCGGCCACGGTCAAGTTGCCTGAACCTCCCCTTTAAACCGCAGCATCTTGTCCACATGTCAATGTGGTCCACGTTTGTGTTTGTCACAAACTCGTGACGGAGTTGAAGGAGAAGGTCCCAACAACAGCGTAATGAGCGCGTTAATGGCACTGTGTAAACGCAAATCATTCTTGTGTTGTAGACAGAGAGAAGGTGGCAAACAGAAAGAGAGAGGGACAGAGAGAGAGGGACAGAGAGAGAGGGACAGAGAGAGAGGGACAGAGAGAGAGGGACAGAGAGAGAGGGACAGAGAGAGAGGGACAGAGAGAGAATGTAATAATAATAATCCTCGCATTTGACACAGCGCCTGATCACATCTTCGAGACGTCTCAAAGCGCTTCACAGGATACACTGTAAAGTGGAGTCCTGTAGCTCAGTGGTTAGAGCACTCGCTTTGCAAGTGAGAGACCTGAGTTCAATCCCAGGCAGAGGGCGAAACCTCGGGCAAGTTTCCTTACTCCACACAGAGCCTAATAATAATCCTCCAAAACCAAAAACAATAATAAATTGGTCATTTTCAATCCACGACTGTTTGTGGGACATTGCTGTGCGCAATTGGCTGCCGCGTTCACCCACAAATATACAGTCAGTTCACTTTACAGTGTGTTCTGTGAAGCGCTTTGGGACGTCCTCCCGACGTGAAAAGCGCTATATCAAATCAAGGATTATTATTATTATTATAAAGGAGTGACTGTATATTTTGTGGGCGAAACGAGACAGAGAGAGAGTGTGGCATTCAGGGAGAGAGACAGAAGCAGAGAGAGAGAGAGAGGGAGAGAACAGTCATGGTTATACTGTGACCTCTGGTAGACCTGGAGAGCATTGCTCTGACCTGAACTGTGTATGTTCATGCCCCACCGCCCCCACCCCCCCACCGCCCCACCCACCCCCACCCCTCGTTGGCAACTGTCAAGTTAAAGTTAAAGCTCACGTTACTAGGATACTGTTTCCTGAGTCAAAGCGTCCAAGTGACTTAGCCAATTGGACTTGGAAGATGAGGGAGTTTCTTGCTCCAAGTTAAAATCATTCACTTGCTCCACAGCTGTTTGTGGGTTGTTGTTGGGTGCAAATTGACAGCCAGGTTACACCCTGCAAAATACAGTCACTACACTTTACAGTAAAATTAATGGGTTAATTTAAGTAATAATGTTATTTTTTGCTGCTGTTTCTAATGCTAATGAGGAGCAAGATCCAAATTTAGTGTCAGCCTGGCCCAGTGGTAGCTCTCTTCCCCCCCCACCCCCCCCCCCCACCCCCCACCCCCTCACCCCCTCTCTCTCTCTCTCTCTCTCTCAGTCAGGAGGTTGTGGGTTCAACCCCCACGTCAGGACTTGGAATCACACAGTCTAAGCTGATGCTCCAATACAGCACTGGGGGGTGGGGGGTGGGGGGGCACTGTGGGGGTGTGGGGGGCACTGTGGGAGGTGCCGTCCTCGGGAGGAGACGTTAACCCGAGGTCCCGTCTGCCTGTTCGGGGGGATGGTAAAGATCCCGCGGGGCTATTGGAAAAGAGAAGGGAATTTCTCTCTCTCTCTCCCGGTGTCCTGGACAACAATCCCCCAAATAATATTGCCCACTCGCCCCACGGCTGTGTGTGGGCACTGCTGTGTGTAATTGGCTGCCGGGTTTCATCCACAAAGTATTCAGTCACTACACTTTACAGTATATTCTGTGAAGCGCTTTGAGATGTCTCAATGACATGATAAGGCACTATATCAAATGCAAGGATTATTATTATTATTTAGATGGTTAGACTCCAGCAGTTACCCCCAATACACACTCTGGGATCCCCAAACTTTAGCTCTCACCAACCTGCGCCTAATACTCGGTAATTAGGTAAAACGGGGGAGAGAGAGGGAACGAGAGGGCATTCCATTCCAGACACTGGCAATTTCCATGTCAAGGTGGAATGCATGGAAACTCGTGGTGATGAGTTTCCGCATGTGTCAGACACCCGGCTGACCAAAAAAACATCAACGCAGCTTCCAAATTCATCATAGCTTTAGGTTCAAAACCATTGGCTTACAATTCAAGGTGGCTCAGAATTGTGAACATTTCTTGGCTGCCGCATTTCGTCCACAAAATACACAGTCACTACACTTTACAGTAATAATAATAATAATCCTTGCATTTGATATAGCGCTTTTCACGTCGGGAGGACGTCCCAAAGCGCTTCACAGAACACACTGTAAAGTGAATTGACTGTATATTTGTGGGCGAACGCGGCAGCCAATTGCGCACAGCAATGTCCCACAAACAGTCGTGGATTGAAAATGACCAATTTATTATTGTTTTTGGTGTTGGAGGATTATTATTAGGCTCTGTGTGGAGTAAGGAAACTTGCCCGAGGTTTCGCCCTCTGCCTGGAATTGAACTCAGGTCTCTCACTTGCAAAGCGAGTGCTTAACCACTGAGCTACAGGACTCCACAGTATATCCTGTGAAGCGCTTTGAGTCGTCTTGAAGATGTGATAAGGCTCTGTATCAAATGTAAGTATTATTGTTAATAATAAGGAGCGAACAGCACAGACCGAGCCAGAGGCACACGAAGGTTTCCCTTAAAAAAGGAAGTGATGAAGAACAACAACAACAAGATTCCATTTATAGAGCGCCTTTCACGTCGGGAGGACGTCCCGAGGCGCTGGAACTGGGAAAGAACTAAGAAAGAGGGAAGGTCAGAGGTTATCGCAGATGACGCACATTTGTGGAGTTGCTGAGTGAACGGCCAATGATCCAGTGCTCACTGTCACTGATGGGCACGAGTTCCTTGTGCTAACTCCCACCTGTGTGACCTGCTAACCCCATATCAACCTGCAGGCTCTGGCCTGCTCCCCGGCCCCCGCCCGGCCCACCCCACCATTGCCGGTCAGGCCTTCAGCCTCTCTGCCCCACCCTCTGGAACTGCATCCCACAGTCCCTCCCCCTCACACCCTACCCCTCGCCTCCCTCAGGGCATGTCTCAAGACCCTCCTCTTTGACCGCGCCTTTGGTCACTGTCCTACCTCCACCCTCCCTGCCCTCCAGCCCCTCCTGATCCCAACCCCCAGCTCGGGTCCAAATACCTAACGGTCCAGCCAGCGCCTTGGGACGTCCTTCCGACGTGAAAGACGCTGTTGAAATGTAAATTGTTAGTCGATGAGGCGATATGATTGCTGTCTAAGGTTCTAAAGGGGCCAAACAATCTGGATCATGATGGGCTGCTTCAACGTGTCCAGAATAGTAAACCAGAGGCCACGGCCTGCGATTGAAGGGCATAAATACAGAACAAGTCCACCAAACACCATTTCAGTGAGCGGATAGTGACCGTGTGGAACAGGCTCCCGGGGAGACGGTGAAGCAGGAAATGTTGATACTTTCAAACGCAGATTAGACAGTTTTCTTTTAGGGAATAATATGATGGGTTACAGCGCACAGGGAGATGGGGACATATGTACATGTGACCACCAGGGAGGTGGAAGGCCAACCGGATGGACCTTGGTCTTTTTTCATCGAGAATTTCTTATGTTCTTATGATTGACAGATCTCTTTCCAGGGGTAATAATCCCTTCAAAAAAACAATAATAATAATAATTTGGTCACTTCAATCCACGACTGTTTGTGGGACGCTGTTGTGCGCAATTGGCTGCCGCGTTTCACCCACAAAAAGATACCGTTAATTCATTTTAGAGTTTATTCTGTGAAGCGCTTTGGTCGCCTCAAAGACATGACACGGCACTGTATCATAGAATCATAGAATCTTATTACACAGAAGGAGGCTATTCTGCCGCTCATTCCTGTGCCGACTCTTTGAAAGAGCCATCGACTGGTCCTACCCTCCCCCCCCCCCCACAACAACACAATGACATCTATAGAGCGTCTTTCACGTCGGGAGGACGTCCCAAAGCAAAGGGGTGAGGGAAGACAGAGAGGTGGGAGGGAGACCAAAGGGACGGTCGAAGAGGAGGGACTTGAGACCGGCCTTGAAGGAGGTGAGGGAGGAAGCGAGGCGAAGGGACCGTGGGATGGAGTTCCAGAGTGTGGGGGCAGAGAGGCTGAAAGCCCAGACACCGATGGTAGGGCGGGTCGGGCAGGAGACATGGAGCAGCCGGAGCCCGATGAACGGAGGGAGGGGGCAGGTTGGTAGGGAGTCAGCAGGTCAGAGAGGTGGGAGGGGGCGAGGCCATGGATGGCCTTAAAGGTGAGGACGAGGATTTTGAACTCGATCCTCTGGGGGATGGGGTGCCAGTGGAATCGGGCGAGGGTGGGAGTGATGGGGTCGGGCGAGGGTGGGAGTGATGGGGTCGGGCGAGGGTGGGGTGATGGGGTCGGGCGAGGATGGGGGTGATGGGGTCGGGCGAGGGTGGGAGTGATGGGGTCGGGCGAGGGTGGGAGTGATGGGGTCGGGCGAGGGTGGGAGTGATGGGGTCGGGCGAGGGTGGGAGTGATGGGGTCGGGCAAGGGTGGGAGTGATGGGGTCGGGTGAGGGTGGGAGTGATGGGTCGGGCGAGGGTGGGAGTGATGGGGTCGGGCGAGGGTGGGAGTGAAGGGGTCTGGCTAGGGTAGGAGTGATGGGGTCGGGCGAGGGTGGGAGTGATTGGGTCGGGCGAGGGTGGGAGTGATGGGGTCGGGCGAGGGTGGGAGTGATTGGGTCGGGCGAGGGTGGGGGTGATGGGGTTGGGCGAGGGTGGGGGTGATGGGGTCTGGCGAGGGTGGGAGTGATGGGGTCGGGCGAGGGTGGGAGTGATGGGGTTGGGCGAGGGTGGGAGTGATGGGGTTGGGCGAGGGTGGGAGTGATGGGGTTGGGCGAGGGTGGGAATGATGGGGTCGGGCGAGGGTGGGAGTGATGGGGTTGGGCGAGGGTGGGAGTGATGGGGTCGGGCGAGGGTGGGAGTGATGGGGTCGGGCAGTCTGGTCGTGAGAGTACATGAGCTGCAGAGTTGTGGATGATCTGCAGGTTGTGAAGGGAAGAGGTGGGAAGGCCGATGAGGAGGGAGTTCCCGTAATCGAGCCTTGAGGTGACGATTGTGTGGGTGGGGGTCTCACCTGAGGGGTGAGGCAGTGGCGGAGTTTGGCAATGGTGCGGATCATCATAATAACTGTGATTTGAATCGACTGTATTTTGTGAGCGAAACACAGGAGCCAATTGCACACGGCAGTGTCCCACAAACAGCTGTGGGTTGAAGTGACCAATTTATTTATTTTGAAGCAATTATTACCCCAGAAATTGATCCTCAATCGACTAACAACCGGATTCCCACTCACTGCCGGTAAACAGAGGGCTGTGGAGTAAGGAAACTTGCCGAAGGTTTCGCTCTGTTCGGGAATCGAACCCGAGTCCTCTCGACTATGGGGGGGTGGGGGGTGGGGGCGCGATGCTGAATTATTTTGTGGTGATTTTCAACTCGATGCAAAACGTAAGTCACTTTATTATATTCAGTCCCTCCCGACCTGCTCTGTCCTGGGCCCGCGACACCCTCCAGTGGCCACATAGGGACCTCTCTCTTCTGCTGCACAGATGTTTGTGAGGTCGGGATATCGGGATTCGAGGCAAAGGCGGGTAATTGGAGTTGAGGTACAGATCAGCCATGTTCCTATAGAATGGCAGAACAGGCTCAAGGGGCTGAATGGCCACCTCCTGCTCCTGTGTTCCTATCAACAACGACAACAACTTGCACTTATATAGCGCCCTCCACTCAGGGCAGCGTCTCAGAGCCCTTAGCAGTGGCGGAGCCCGACCCCGACTCTGTCGTGGACCCGAAATATTGACTCACTTTCCTCTCTCCATAGATGCTGCCTGACCTGCTGAGTGTTCCCGGTGACCTCTGTTTTGTTTCAGATCTGCAGTATTTTGCACTCTAATAATAATAATGATCTCGTCTTCTGCTCAGATCCTCGCTCAGAACTCCACAGCTGCTGCGGGGGCCTTGAGGACCACCGAGAGCCCCATCGACCCCTACAACCGCACCCAGTACTGTCACTGGCCGTGCGCGTGCCCCCTGTCTCCCCCTGACTGTCCCCCGGGGGTCAGCCTGGTGACTGACGGCTGTGACTGCTGTCGGACTTGCGCTAAGCAGCTCGGGGAGTCCTGCACTGAGGCTGACACCTGTGACCCCCACCGTGAGCTCTATTGTGACTACAGCAAAGATCGGCCCCGCTATGAGGTGGGACTATGTGCGCGTAAGTATCCTCCTCCTCCTCCACTGCCAGCCCAGGGGTGGGAGGGGTGGGTGGGGGGGGTGGAGAGATCCCAGCCCTGAGAGCGAGAGGGGGAGTGGGTGGGGGAGTGGAGGGAGAGACCCCAGCCTGGGGGCGCGAGGGGGCAGTGGGAGTGGGGGGAGTGGAGGGGGAGACCCCAGCCTGGGGCGGGAGGGTTGGGTGGGGAGGGGAGTGGAGGGAGAGACCCCATCCTGGGGGCGAGAGGGGGAGTGGAGGGAGAGACCCCAGCCTGGGGCAGGAGGGTGGGGAGGGGAGTGGAGGGAGAGACCCCATCCTGGGGATGAGAGGGGAAGTGGAGGGGGAGACCCCAGCCTGGGGGCGAGAGGGGGGAGTGGGCCACCGCTGTGTGCAATTGGCTGCTGTGTTTCACCCACAAACTACACAGTTACGTTACTGTTGACTCTGGAAAGCGCTTTGAGACGTCTTGTGATGAGGCGTTGGATCAAATACAATTATTATTATGATTGTTATTATTATTATTATGGTTGTTGTTGTTGTTGCTATTGTTGTTATTATTGTGGTTGTTATTGTTGTTGTTATTGTTGTTGCTGTTATTCTGGTTATTGTTGTTATTATTCTGGTTGTTGTTGTTGTTCTGGTTGTTGTCGTTGTTGTTATCGTTCTGGTTGTTGTTGTTTTGGTTGTTATTGTTGTTGTTATTGACACTCTTGCCCCCATCACTTCCCGCACTGTCTCCTACTCTCGCTCCTCCCCCTGGTACACCACCCACCTCCGCTCACTGAAGAGCCCGGTGCGGGGCCGCTGAACGCACCTGCGTCAAATCTGGCCTAACGGTCCACCGACAAATCTGGCTGGACCTCCTCAAAATCTACCGCTCCACTCTAGCCTCGGCCAAGTTGTCCTTCTACTCCAGAATAATCCTGGAGGCGAAGAACAACCCCAGGCTACTGTTTTCCACCACATCCCGACTCCTCCGTCCCCCCGCCACCCCGCGCAGGTCATCTCCTCCAACCTTCACTGCGAGGAGATGCTGGATTTCCTTGAATCCAAGATCAAGGGAATCCGCTCCGCGGTCACTTCCCCTCCAACTTCCACCCACCCCCACCCCTTCCCTCCCACACTCCGACTCCTACCCATCCTCCCCTACACACCTTTGTACCCGTTTCCCCACCCTCTGTCACCAAACTCATCCTATCCCTGAAACCCACCACCTGCTCCCTTGACCCCATCCCCACTCCACTCCTTATCTCCCAGCTCCACCTCCTGCCCCACATATCACAGACATCATCAACCTGTCCCTCTCCTCTGGCTCTGTCCCCATTCCATTAAAAACTGCCATCATCACTCCCACCTTAAAAAAACCCTCCCTTGATGCGTCGCAGCTATCAAGTTACCGGCCCATCTCCAACCTCCCCTTTCTCTCCAAGGTCTTGGAAAGAGTTGTCGCCTCCCAACTGCGCTCTTTCCTTTCCACCCATTCTCTTTTTGAACCCCTTCAGTCGGGTTTCCGTGCTGCCCATAGCACAGAAACTGCCCTGGTCAAGGTCACCAATGATATCCTGACCATCTGTGACCAGGGCTCCCTCTGTCTCCTCGTCCTCCTCGACCTATCGGCAGCATTCGATACGGTCGACCACGCTATCCTACTCCACCGCTTGTCCTCCCACCTCAACCTTCAAGGCCCTGTCCTTGAGTGGTTTAGGTCGTACCTCTCCCACCGTCTTCACTTTGTCTCAACGAATGGCTTCTCCTCCACCCCCCGTACTGTCTCATGTGGTGTCCCTCAGGGCTCTGTCCTCGGTCCCCTCCTCTTCACCCTCTATATGCTCCCCCTGTGGTGACATCATCCGCAGACATGGAGTTAACTTCCACATGTATGCGGATGACACCCAACTCTACCTTTCCTCCTCTACTCTCAACTCCACGACCCCCGATGTCCTGACAGCTGCCTGTCCGACATCGAGTCCTGGACGAGAGACAACTTTCTTCAGCTCAACGTGCGAAAAACCGAGGCCCTCCTGATTGGCTCACGTCAGCGCCTCCGCACCTCAGGCGCTGACACCATCAGCATCCAAGGCTGCACTCTCCACCTCTCAAAGCCGTCAGGAACCTCGGCGTTTTGTTCGACCCTGAGCTGTCCTTTCTCCCTCACATCCGCACCACAACTGGCACCGCCTTCCATCACCTTCGGAACATCGCCAGACTACGGCACTACCTCACCCCTCACGCGGCTGAAACCCTGGTTCACGCCTTTGTCACCTCAAGGCTGGACTATGGGAACTCTCTCCTCGTCGGCCTTCCCGGCCCTCCCTCCACACTGCAGGTCATTCAGAACTCTGCAGCTCGTGTACTGTCCCGCACCAGGCTTCGGGACCACATCACTCCCACCCTCGCTCGCCTCCACTGGCTCCCCATCCCCCAGAGGATTGATTTCAAGATCCTCATCCTCACCTACAAGGCCATTCACGGCCTTGCTCCCTCCTACCTCTCCAACCTACTATCCCCCTACCTACCTGCCCGTACCCTCCGTTCCTCTGGCTCTGGTCTGCTCCACGTCCCCCGCCCAACCGCCCTACCATCGGTGGTCGGGCCTTCAGCCTCTCAGCCCCTCGGCTCTGGAACTCCATCCCCCAGTGCCTTCGCCGCTTCCTCCCTTTCCTCCTTCAAGGCCGGTCTCAAAACCTTTCTCTTTGACCGTGCCTTCAGCTCCCCTCTCGACTCTCTTCCCCCTCCTCGCTCCCTCCCTTCCCTCCCCTCACCCTGACCATTTCCCCCTCCTTGCTCCCTCCCTTCCCTCACCTTGACCATTTCCCCCCTGCTCGGGTCATGACCCAACTGTGCAGCGCCTTGGGACGTCCTCCTGACGTGAAAGGCGCTTTATAAATGGAATCTTGTTGTTGTTGTTGTTATTCTGGTTGTTTTTGATATTGTTGTTGTTGTTGTTCTGGTTGTTGTTTCATAGATCCATAGAATGTTACGGCACAGGAGGCCATTCGGCCCATTGAGTCTGTGCGGCTCTTTGACAGAGCGTCACTTTCACTGACCCCAATCACCAGCTTTCTCCCCATAACCCCACAAACCCGTCTTCCCCGATACCTGTCCAGTTCTCTCTTAAAAGCTGTTATGGAATCGGACTTCACTGCCCTTTCGGGCGGATCATTCCAAATTCCAACAACTCACTGAGTGAAAACATTTCTTCTAACCTCCCCTCTGCTTCTTTTGGTGATATCTTCAGACTGTGACCGCGGGTCAGACACACCTACCAGCGGAAACAGCTTTCCCTATCTCGCCTGTCAGAACCTTCCGTGATCTTGAAGACCTCTATCGGGTCCCCGCGTAACCTTCTCTGCTCTAATGGGAAAAGTCCTAACGTCTCCACTGTCCTCATAGCTAAGGTTCCCCATTCCTGGTATCATTCTCGTGAATCTCCTCTGTACCCTTTCCAGTGCCTTAATGTCCTTCCTGAGGTAATGTGCCCAGAACTGGACGCAGTACTCCAGCTGAGGCCTAACCAGTGTTTTGTACAGATTAACCATAACCCCTACTCTTATACTCTATGCCCTACTAATAAAGCTCAGTACACCAAATGCCTTTTTTACTGCCCTATCTACCTGTCCCGATACCTTTAATGATTCGCTTACTTGAACACCCAGATCTCTCTGTACGTTCACCCCCTTAAGATTGAGCTCCAAGTCTATATTGCCTCCTATCATTCTTCCTACCTAAGTGTATCACCTCACACTTATCCACATTGAAATCCATCTGCCACATGTCAGCCCATTCCACCATTCTGTGTATGTCTGTCTGCAGTTGGTTACAGTCCTCCTCACTATTTACTACCCGACCTGACTCTGTATCATCTGCAAACTTGGAAATAGTGCTCTCTATGCCCAAGTCCAGATCATTAATATATATTAGAAAGAGCAGTGGTCCCAATACCGATCCCTGGGGGACACCGCTGCACACCTCCTTCCATTTCGAGAAACACCCATTAACCACCACCTTCTGCTTTCTGTCACTCAGTCAGTTCCTAATCCAAACTGCCACTGTCCCCTTAATACTGTGGGCCTCTAATTTTTTTATTAACCTCTTATGCGGTACTGTGTCAAAAGCCTTTTTGAAATCCATGTAAATAACGTCACCGCATTTCCCTCATCAACCCTCGCAGTCACCTCTTCAAAAAATTCTATTAGATTTGTTAGGCAAGATTTGCCTTTAACAAATCCATGTTGGCTGTCTCTAATTACCTCGTGTTCCTCTAAGTAGAGATTTATTTTGTCCCGGATTACGGTCTCCAGTAGCTTTCCTATTACCGAAGTTAGGCTGACTGGCCTGTAATTTCCGGGTTTGTCTTTCTGCCCCTTTTTGTAGAGGGGGTAACATTAGCCACTCTCCAGTCTCTTGGCACCACTCCTGTGTCCAATGACGATTGAAATATAATGGCCAAAGCCTCCGCTATTTGAACCCGTATCTCCCACAGCAACCTTGGGTGACAGCCATCTGGTCCTGGTGACTTATCAATTTTGAGCCCAGTCAACCTTTTCAGAACTTCCTCTCTGTCGATAGTAATCTGATCTATGTCCTCTGCCCTCTCACCCAATGCTGCAGCATTTGGGACATCCGTTTCCGTTGTGAAGACAGATGCAAAGTACTCATTTAGTACATCAGCCATCCCTCTGCCTCCACAACAAGATGGCCGTCATTGCCTTTGATTGGCCCCACCCTACCTTTAACTAACCTTTTTTCCTTTATGTGCTTGTAAAATATTTTAGGATTCCCCTTTATGTTACCCGCTAACCTCTTCTCATGTCTGTCTTATCACTCTTTTAAGGTCACTCCTGCATTCTCTATAATGCGCTTTGCTATCCTCAGTGTCTTGCATCTTCCAATTGTCGTACGCCATCTTCTTCTTTTTCATCCTCAACAGAATATCCCTGGCCATCGAGCCGGGCTTGGTTGTCGCACATTTCCCTGTTGTGGGAATATATCTATTTAGACCCTGAGCTATCGTATCTTTGAAGATCTCCTATTGCTCATGAGTCGTGTTACCTGCCATTCTCACTTGCCAGTCCACCAACTCTCACTCCCTCTTTACCCCATCAATATTAGCCCTTTTCCAGTCAACCATTTTCACCCTCGACTGTACTTTGTCCCTGTTCATGAGTAATCTAAACCTAATAATATTATGGTCACTGTTGTTGTTATTGTTCTGGTTGGGTTGCAGACCTGGTTGTTGTTGTTGTTGTTGTTGTTGTTATTGTTCTGGTTGGGTTGCAGACCTGGTTGTTGTTGTTGTTGTTGTTGTTGTTATTGTTCTGGTTGGGTTGCAGACCTGGTTGTTGTTGTTGTTGTTGTTGTTATTGTTCTGGTTGGGTTGCAGACCTGGTTGTTGTTGTTGTTGTTGTGTTGTTGTTGTTGTTGTTATTGTTCTGGTTGGGTTGCAGATCTGGTTGTTGTTGTTGTTGTTATTGTTCTGGTTGGGTTGCAGATCTGGTTGTTGTTGTTGTTGTTGTTGTGTTGTTGTTGTTGTTGTTGTTATTGTTCTGGTTGGGTTGCAGACCTGGTTGTTGTTGTTGTTGTTGTGTTGTTGTTGTTGTTGTTGTTCTGGTTGGGTTGCAGACCTGGTTGTTGTTGTTGTTGTTGTTATTGTTCTGGTTGGGTTGCAGACCTGGTTGTTGTTGTTGTTGTTGTTGTTATTGTTCTGGTTGGGTTGCAGACCTGGTTGTTGTTGTTGTTGTGTTGTTGTTGTTGTTGTTGTTATTGTTCTGGTTGGGTTGCAGATCTGGTTGGCGTTGTTGTTGTTGTTGTTGTTGTGTTGTTGTTGTGTTGTTGTTATTGTTCTGGTTGGGTTGCAGACCTGGTTGTTGTTGTTGTTGTGTGTTGTTGTTGTTATTGTTCTGGTTGGGTTGCAGATCTGGTTGTTGTTGTTGTTGTTATTGTTCTGGTTGGGTTGCAGACCTGGTTGTTGTTGTTGTTGTTGTTGTTATTGTTCTGGTTGGGTTGCAGACCTGGTTGTTGTTGTTGTTGTTGTGTTGTTGTTGTTGTTGTTGTTATTGTTCTGGTTGGGTTGCAGACCTGGTTGTTGTTGTTGTTGTTGTTATTGTTCTGGTTGGGTTGCAGACCTGGTTGTTGTTGTTGTTGTTGTTGTTGTTGTGTTGTTGTTGTTGTTATTGTTCTGGTTGGGTTGCAGACCTGGTTGTTGTTGTTGTTGTTGTTATTGTTCTGGTTGGGTTGCAGACCTGGTTGTTGTTGTTGTTGTTGTTGTTGTTGTTGTGTTGTTGTTGTTGTTATTGTTCTGGTTGGGTTGCAGACCTGGTTGTTGTTGTTGTTGTTGTTATTGTTCTGGTTGGGTTGCAGACCTGGTTGTTGTTGTTGTTGCAGATCTGGTTGGCGTTGGCTGTGAGCTGAATGGGCGACGTTTTGCCAATGGACAGAACTTTCAGCCCAACTGCAAGTACAAGTGCACGTGTGTGAATGGTGCCATTGGCTGTGTACCCGCGTGTCGCCAGTCCCGCCCCCCCCTCGTGTGGTGCCAACACCCCAAGAGTGTCCGGCTGCTCGGCCGCTGCTGTGAGCAGTGGATCTGTGACCAGTCAAAGCGTCTCCGCAAACCGGCGCCGCGACACGTGTCCATGTCAGGTACGTGACTGGGCGGGGCTTCAGTGTGTGGGCGGGACTTTGGTATGTGGGCGGGGCTTCAGTGTGTGGGCGGGACTTTGTTATGTGGGCGGGGCTTCAGTGTGTGGGCGGGACTTTGGTATGTGGGCTGGGCTTCAGTGTGTGGGCGGGACTTTGGTATGTGGGCGGGGCTTCAGTGTGTGGGCGGGACTTTGGTATGTGGGCGGGGCTTCAGTGTGTGGGCGGGACTTTGGTATGTGGGCGGGGCTTCCGTGTGTGGGCGGGACTTTGGTATGTGGGCTGGGCTTCAGTGTGTGGGCGGGACTTTGGTATGTGGGCGGGGCTTCAGTGTGTGGGCGGGACTTTGGTATGTGGGCGGGGCTTCAGTGTGTGGGCAGGGCTTTGGTATGGGGCGGGCTTCAGTGTGTGGGCGGGGCTTTGGTATGTGGGCGGGGCTTCAGGGCCTTGAGACTGTTTCCCCGGTTGGAGAATCTAAAACTTGGGTCATAGTCTCAGGGTTAAGGATCAGCCGTTTTGGATTGAGTTGAGGAAACATTTCTTCACTCAGAGGGCAGTGAATTTATGGAATTCTCTACCGCAGAGGCCGTGGATCTCAGTCAGTCCTTAAACTTATTCAAGGCTGAGGTTGTAGATTTCTGAAGGATGGAGGGATTAAGGGATATGGGGATAGGGCGGGTAATGGGATTAGGTTAGAAGATCAGCCACGATCTTATTAAATGGCGGGCACAGGCTCGAGGGGCTGAATGGCCAACTCCTGCTCCTAATTCTTATGTTCTTAAGAACAACTTGCACTTACAGAGCGCCCTCCACGCAGGATAGCGCCACAGAGCGCTTCACCATGTTAAGGTGGAGCTTCACTATGTCAAGGTGGGGCTTCACTATATCAGGGTGGGGCCTCACTATGTCAGGGCGGGGCCTCACTATATCAGGGCGGGGCCTCGCTATATCAGGGCGGGGCCTCACTATATCAGGGCGGGGCCTCACTATATTATCAAAAACAAGTGACATTGTCGCAGTGGTTCTCAGGTGGGGAGGACGTCCGAAGGCGCTGTCAGGTACATCACGGTGGGAGGGGAGGGGAGGACAAGCCGGCTCCGGCTTTCATCCCTGTCTCTATGCCAACGCTAACCCCCTGCCTCACTCCCCCCCCCCACCCACAGCGTACGGCGGGGACTCGGAGGTTTGGCGTAAGAACTGCCTGGTGCAGACCACGGGCTGGAGCGCCTGCAGCAAGACGTGTGGGATGGGCATCTCCACCCGAGTCTCCAACGATAACCAACACTGTCACCTGGGCAAGGAGCGACGCCTCTGCCTCCTCAGGCCATGTGACGTGGACATCACCGAGCACATCAAGGTCAGAGCCTCAGCCCACACACACCTCACACACTGCGCCCGGGGGCAGGAACCAACAAGGCTTATTATGGGGCTCGAACCCACAACCTTCTGACACAGAAGAGGCGAGTCTGGCTGCCACCTTTCATAGGGAGAGAAAGAGGGGGCGAGAGAGAGAGAGAGAGAGAGAGAGAGAGGGGGAGGTCCTGGAAGCCAATCTATCACCACTCTGGCCCAAAATGCTGTAAATCTGAAAGAAAAACAGACGTCGCTGGGAACACTCAACAACAACAACAGGATTACATTTGTTTAGCGCCTTTCACGTCGGGAGGACGTTCCCAAGGAGCTGGACTGAGTACAGCATTTCAGACCCGAGCTGGGGTCAGGGGGGGAAGGGGGAGGAGGGTGGCCAATGGCATGGTTGAAGAGGAGGGTCTTGAGGCAGGACTTGAAGGAGGCTACGGAGGGGGCGAGGCGGAGTGACTGGGGGATGGAATTCCAGAGGTTGGGGGCAGAGTGGCTGAAGGCTGTCCCGCCAATGGTGGGGCGGGGGACGTGGAGCAGTCAGAGCCGGGTGAGTGGAGGGAGCGGGCGGGTTGGTAGGGGGTTAGGAGGTCGCAGAGATAGGGTGGGGCGAGGCCATGGAGGGCTTTGTATGTGAGGACCAGGATCTTGAACTGGATCCTCTGAAGGATAGAGAGCCAATGGAGTCGGACGAGAGTGGGGGAGATGGGGTCACGGAGTTTGGTGCGGGAGAGGACACGGGCGGCAGAGTTCTGGATTATCTGCAGCTGTGGAGGGAGGGGTTGGGAAGGCCGACAAGTAGGGAGTTTGCATAGTCGAGCCTCGAGGTGATGAAGGTATGAACAAGAGTTTCAGAGGCCTGAGGGGTGAGGGAGTGACAGAGTCGGGCGATGTTACGGAGGTGAGGGAAGGCAGAGTGGGTCATGACTTGAATGTGGGGGAGAAAAGACAGATGAGGGTCGAACAAGACACCCAGTTGGTGGTTGGTGAGTTGTCGTGAGCAACCATGGAGGTTGATGTTGCCGGAGCCTGAGGTGCAGAGGCGCTGGTGTGAGCTGATCAGGAGGGCCTCAGTCTTGTTCACATTCAACGAGTGAGTCAGCGTTCGGATCCACGACAGTCGTTGGAAACACTCAGCAGGTCAGGCAGCATCTATGGAGGGAGGAAAATGAGTCAACGTTGGCTTACTTTCCTCTCTCCATAGATGCTGCCTGACCTGCTGAGGGTTCCCAGCGACTTGTTTTGTGCAGTAACAGGGATCTGCCTCTAGGCGGCAGCATTGTGCTGTGTAACTCAGACGCAGCGTGACAGTGCCCCCTCCTGGCTGAGGGGAGGACTGCACCCACCCTGAACCGTTTTGTGACACATTCATACGACACAATCCCTGCATCTGATACAGATCCTGATCATCAGCCTCAGAGCGCTTCGCAGCATATACCGTAAAGTGTGGTGACTGTGTATTTGTAGGTAAACGCAGCGCTCTCTCTCCCCTCTCCCCCTCTCTCTCCCTCTAATCCCCCTCTCATTCTCTCCACTCTCCCTCTCTCTTTTCCCCCACTCTCTCTCCCCCTCTACCCTTCTCTCTCTCCCTCCTCTCCCTCCCCCCCTCTCTCCCCGCCCCGCATCTCTCCCCTTGCTCTCTCCCCCTCCCACCTCTCTCTTCCCCTCTCCCCCCTCTTCCCTCTCTCTCCTGCTGGTCTCTGACTGTTGTTGTTGTTGTTTACCCACAGCCGGGGAAGCGATGCCTGAGTGTGCTGAAGCAGACGGAGCCTCTACACTACACACTGTCGGGGTGTGTGAGCCGCCGCTCGTATCGGCCCAAGTACTGCGGGGGGTGCACAGATGAGCGTTGCTGTGGCCCCCTGAGGACCAGAACCATCCCCGTGACCTTCACCTGCCCCGACGGCACCTCCTTCTCCAAGGACCTCATGTGGATCAACTCGTGTTTCTGTAACCTGGGCTGTCAGAACCCCAACGACATCTTTACTGACCTGTCGTACTACCCCTCATACAGCGAGGTCAGCAACTGACAAGAACAACAACAACTCACATCTGTACAGCGTCCATCACCTGGGGAGGACATCCCAAGGCTCTGGATAGTCAGGGATTTGGACCCGAGCTGGGGGTTGGGCTCGGGGGGGGGGGGGGGGTGGAAGGCAGGGAGGGTGGGGGTAGGATGGTGTCCGAAGGCGAGGTCGATGATGAAGATCTTCAGATGGGCCTTGAAGGAGGTGAGGGAGGGGGTGAGGCAAAGGGAATGTGGGATGGAGTTCCAGAGGGTGGGGGCAGAGAGGCTGAAAGCTTGACCACCGATGAGTAGGCCAGAGCCTGCTGAGTGGAGGGAGAGTGACAGGTTGATATGGAGTTAGCAGGTCTAACCCCACCCCCCTCTCTCTCTCTCCCCTCATGCTCTCCCACCCTCCACTCCTCTGGTGACTCTCTCCCACAAAAGGCTGTGGATGTTGGATCCGCTCCAATTTTCAAGGTTGAGATGGAGAGATGTTTGTTAGGTCAGGGGATCAATGGACATGGGCAAAGGCAGGTAATTGACCCGACGTGAAAGGCGCTATACAGATATACTTGTTGTTATAATTGGAATTGAGGTACAGATCAGCCATTAATAGAAATATTAATAGTAATAGAATGGAGGAACAGACTCAAGGGGCTGTATGGCCTACTCCTGTTTCTATGACCAAAATGGCGCCCCCCCCCCCCCACTCAATATAAGACAAGGTCCTCACTGCTCGCTCGTTATCCCGAGATAATACATCTGCTTTACAACACCCCGCCCCAACCCCACTCGTCCGATCACCCCCTCCCATCCCCCCCCCTCCCATCCCCCCCCCTCCCATCCCCCCCCCCCTCCCATCCCCCCCCCCTCCCATCCCCCCCCTCCCATCTCGCTCGGCTAATACAACTGGAGACTGCTTGTCCCTTGACCCCTCAATCCCACCATCATTGGCCGTGCCTTCAGCCACTGTGCCCCTGATCTCTGGAACTCCCCGACCCCTTTATCCTCCTTTAAATCCCACCTGAAGACAACAGCAAATTACACTTGAACAAAACAGAAAATACTGCAGATGCTGGAATCTGAAACAAAAACAGAGAGAGCTGGGAACGCTCAGCGGGTCAGGCAGCATCTATGGAGAGAGGAAAGTGAGTCAATGCTTCGGGTCCACGAACCTTCGTCAGAACTGACGAGTCCTGACAAAGGGTCGTGGACCTGAAACGTTGACTCACTTTCCTCTCTCCATAAATGCTGCCTGACCCGCTGAGCGTTCCCAGATCTCTCTATTTCTGTAGCAAATTACACTTATCTAACTCCTTCCCTTCACATCAGAAAGACATCCCCAGGACACTGAATAATCAGGGCTTTTGGGCCCGAGCTGGGAGTTGGGGTCAGGGGGGACAGAGGGCGGGGTGGGTGGAGTGGGGCGGCTGGGGGGTGGGTGGGGTCGTGGCCAAAGGCGCGGGCGAAGAGTAAGGTCTTTAGACGGGACTTGAAGGAAGCAAGAGAGGGGATGAGCCAGAGGGATTGCGGGATAGAGTTCAGAGTTTCTTTCACGTCGGGCGGACATCAAAGCACTTACTGGGTATCTGAGCTGGGGGTGGGAGCTGAGTGGGAGGGTGAGGGATGATATGATTACGGGCTTTAAGATTCTGAATGGAATATATAAAGTAGACCATGATCAGCTGTTCTATCTTGAACAGAGCCACGGCCTGCGATTGACGGGGGTAAATTCAGAAGAAATCTGCGGAAACACTACTTCAGTGAGCGAGTTAGTAAACGTATGGAACAGACTCCCTCGGGAGACGGTGGAAGCAGAAAGTGTTGATTCTTTCAAGAACAAATGAGATAGATTTCTGTTAGGAAATAATATCTGGGGAGACGGTGTATAGTTTGGGACACTGCCTGTCAAGTGACTGCCAGGATGGTGGAAGGCAAAACTGAATGAACCTCGGTCTTCTTTCGCCGGCAAATTCTTATGAATTATTTTAAAAGGGAATTAGATGTTTGAAGGAGGGATGTTAAGGACGAGGAGTTTGGGGGAAGGAGCAGGAGACTCGGCGACTCACGTGGAGTCTGTAACTGCGATATCAGGGAACACGCCCCAAATGGAAGATTAAAATAAGATATATATATATTATTGTTTTGTACAGTATATAGAATCTTTCTGAAATAAGAGCTGTATTGAGTCCCCATTTCTCACCTTTATTATCTGGATGCCTTGCTTCGTTGCTGTATATTTTACTCCTGTTCAGTGTGTGTGTGGCTGTCAATGCTCTTCTGTGTGGTTGAGTATAGACACTGCTCTGTGCACAGAATCAGTAGCCAGGATCTTCCTGGCTGTCGCTCGTGCTCTCACATCTGGGTCAGAAGGTTGTGGGTTCGAGCCTCCTGGTCCAGGCTGCCGTACAGTCCACACACACACAGACACACACACTCACATCCCCTCTCTTGCACACACTCACACTCCCTCTCACACTTTTTCTCTCACACACACAGACCCCATCCCGGTGTTACAATGGTGCTGTTCTCTCTCCAGTTTGAGTTCTGGGTCTGGCCCCTCACACATAGCAAAGCTATTGCAGAAAAGTAAATGCCAAAATAAAGATCACCAGATGTGAGTTGTTGATAAATGGAGACTTGATATCACAACATTCCTTCACCCCCAATTACCTTCTCAAAGCCTCAGCAGTGAACACATTGCAAGCCGGGTGTCACAGAGTAGAAGAAAAAACTAAGTGTATTATTGTTTTGTCAGAGACACATTGCTATAATGTATAATGTAAAGGAATGCTATAAGAAAGAAAGTCTATTTAATTCCAATTATGAATCATCATATTAAAGGTGCAATTCAAAAATGACTTAAGTGTTGATTATTATTATTTTGATTTTGATCAGTTATTGAAAGTGTCTGAGCCGCTGGGGGTCCGGCAATGCATTGAATAGCGCAGTCAATTCGCAAGTGAGAGGACCTGGGTTTGATTCCCAGACACGGCTAAACCTGAGTAAATTTCCTTACTTCTTACTCCACACAACTGTTTACCGAGCAGCACAATTGCCCAAAGCAATGTCCAACAAACAACCAATTTGGCCAGGACACCAGGAGAAATAAGAGAATGTCCCTTCTCCTTTTTGAATAGCGTCGCGGGATCTTTGAAGTCTACCTGAACAGACAGACGAGACCTCAGTTTAACGTCTCATTCGAAGGATGGCACCTCAGACAATGCAACACATCCCCACAGCGCTACATTGGAGTGTCATCTTAGACTGTGTGATTCCACTTCCCAACGTGGAATCTGTTAATTTTCCCATTTTAGGAAGATTGTTTGCACCCTTAAAGCAAACTAAATTCCACACAAACTCACTTGAGGATCCACTTGCTTTGCTCAGCTGCATAGTTTCGGCCGATATTCATTCGTTTGTTCCATCAGAAAGTCAGTTGCATTCACACGCTTGAATTCTTCAGTTTCCCGATAGTTGCGGGGATCTTGTGGCTGTTAATAATAATAATTCTTGCACTTTATATTGTATTTATATATTTATTTGTTGTTGAGACGTTGCAAAGAGCTTCACAGAATCTACTGTGAAATGAATTGACTATATTTTGTGGGTGAAACACAGCAGCCATTTACACACAGAAGTGTGTCCCCACAGACAGTCATGGATTGAGTGACCAAATTATTATTTATTTTTTGAAGGGATTATTGCCCCTGGAAAGTGATCCACTAATCGACTAACAATCGGGTTCCTGCGATTACCCACCCAGGTCCTCTCGAACTAACATGCTACAGGACTCCCTCCACCTGTTGGGTCATTTGACATCTGATAAGCGCAGGTGATGAGGAAATAACCATAAAACAGTGAAGGTCTGGACAGAAAACACGGATACACACAATGTTTTTTTTGGCAAAGTTTTAAAATTTATTTTTCAAATAAATATAAATGTATATGTCATTGAGAACAATCTTTTTCCCCAAAAAAAATTCTTTCCTACATTAAAGTGAGCAAGTGCTCACCTCACCACCGTAGTTGTTCATTCAGTCCTGTCCCCACACACCTCGCCCCTTTCGTAGGGAACAGAACACACCGTGGTCAATTTAAACAGATTGTCGGAAATCACACCCACCAATGCTGGTGAGAAAATCAATCAGGAAAGTAATCTGCTCATTCAATAAAAGGGCAGGCCAGACTAACCTAAAATCACTGCACCTCTAAAGCTGCGGAGAGTCATTAATACACTGGCAGACCCTTCTTATAGCCTGTTTACATAGCCTTTTGTGGTTCAATACACTATCTCCCCCACACTCTGCAAACACTTGCCTTTAAATTAAAGATCATGTTTTACTATTGCTGAGTAGAAATGGCCTTTTTTGTAATGTTGCAGAAACCGTATGGAAGCCCTACTTCCTCTCTTCCTCGCTCTCGCTCCCCCAACCCCAGCAAAGAGAGGCTCGCCGGTGGGTAGGTCGGTGTATGAGGTGAATAATGATGCTCTAACGAAACCTCAATTAAGTTCTGGCTCCATTGTGCTGGAGGAGATGAGAAGCCTGTTATAAAGAACAGAGACAGCCCCAAATGTAATGTTGACTTGATGTACACCTTTGAAGGAGTTAGGTAGGATTTTAGGTCCATTTGGAGAGCGTGTTTATAGCCTCCTGTTGGTTTTCTCTGGTCTTTCGCAGAGACTCTGTAAACTGAACCCATTTGCTTTAATCCTTCATGCTATTCAAGATCAGAAAAATGGGTTGACTCACACGGCAAGTTCATGCACTAAAGTGGAGGCTTCTTCAAGACAGGTGCTCACTTTCCTTCCCCACCACATACACATTCCTAGCCCTGTCCACCCACACAGCAGTGGGCAGGAAAGACAATAGCAACACAGACGCGGTGTGGTTTGAACCCTCGGCTCTCTCTTTGCTGCAGTGCAGAAGATGTAAGAGATTTTTTTTCTTTTGCAGACAAACTTTTTTTGCAGCCCAAAAAGTCACAAAGCCTCAAAAAGGTGAGATTTCGATAATAGCCGTTAGAGATTGTGGCTGGTTATTCAGCAAATAAACAAATTAACATTTCAAGAAATACAAACCGTTTTGTTAAGCACAACAATGGGAAACACAGGCCTTGGAATGGTATACCTCAAGGCCAAGAAGGGAAACCAAATCTATCAGAAAGTTAACATCAAAATCTTGCCCTGCCACTCAGCCCAAGCTAATTAAACGCTGACACATTCAAAAACCAAGATTTTTCACATGTGCTTTAAAGACTACAGCTCTGCCTTTTAGTCTCGCTCTTCAAGATTTTAGTTTTAAAAAAACAGCTAATGTAACGAGTGCGGAAATGCAGGGAAACAGGGAAACCTGCTATTAATTAACGGTGGACTAAAAGTTTGCAACAAAATTGATTCAACGGAAATCTATCATTTGGAAGGTGGGGGGGGGGGGGGTTGAGGAAAATCAAGGACTGTACATCTTTCTAAAGATTTAACTTCAGCTTCACAGGGGCTCTGACAGAGAGAGCGCACGCAGACTTCTAACGTTTGTCAAACTTTTGTTACCCGTAAGGCATTGCTTCCCTCCCCCAACAAAGGTGCAAGAGTGGTTTGCTTTGGGACGTAAGTTACTTTGACATTGAATCTTTGGGTGACCCATTACTACATTCAGTCGTGACATGAGTCAGGTCTAAACCGCAGGGGAGTAGAAACAGAACAGTCTATGCACAAACCTTACAACCACAGCGATGCACACGCACTGCTTTGCATATAGTTAGCGATGCGTGTGGCAGTGCCAATGAGCCGGGCAGCAATGCCTTAAGGGTAACGAGAGATTTCACTTTGGGCAGTCGAGGGAGGGAGCGGGGGGGGGGGGGGGGGGGGGGCGGGAGGAGAGGGGGCTTCAACAGGAAACCTCCGCCGACTGTGGTCCAGAATGTTCCATGGTGGCCGAGCGAGGGGACGAGCTGAGTGGTGACTCCATGGCGGCCTGGCTCATGTTGGTGTTCTCCAGGGTGTGAGCACGGCTGCGGTTCCCCTCCCCGGTGTGAGCACGGCTCCGGTTAGAATCAATGGAGGTGTAGCTTGAGGCGGAGCCAGTGCGGGATCGCATGAGGCGAGTCATGCTGGCTCCAGGCACTGCAGAGCACAAGGTGTCAGTCATTGATGACCTGCTTGCTATTCCCAGCTCCACAAGGTACACTTCATCCAAAACTCCACCGCCCGCACACTCACCCGCTCTAAACTCCATCCCCCATCACCCCAATCCTCGTCAGCTCCACTGGCTCCGTATCACCATCAACTTCAAGATCCTCACACTTGTCTACAAATTCCTTCACGCCCTGGCACCTCCCTACCTACTTAATTCCCAACCCACTACCCACTGCCCCCGGCTTTCTGCACGTCCCTTGTGTTCTCCGCTCCACCACTGGCAGCCTCGCTTTCAGCCACAATGCCCTGGAACACTCTTCCTCTCTCCACCCGCCTTGTCCTCTCCTCTCAGCAATGAAGAATGTATCTACTTACTGTGGCCCATGCCTTGGACAAAGTACTTGAAGGCCTCTGTAAGCTTTGCCGGCTGCAAGAGACATCATAACCTAAATTTATCAAAAGTTTATCTTCTCTTCCCCTCACCCCCCACACAAAACAATGAGAACTTTCGGACCACACTGTTTCAATTAGCTTTTTTTTTAATAAAATAAACATAGAGAGTGGCTTTAACCAATGTTATAAAAACAGAAACTGAAGGTAATAATCTTTGCATTTGATATAGTCCCTTATCACATTCTTAAGATGTCTCAAAGCGCTTCACATGATAGATCGTAAAGTGAATTGTGTATCTTGTGGGTGAAACGAGGCAGCCAAATACACCAGCAGTGTCTCTCACACAGTGGTGGATCGAGTGACCAAACTACTATTATTATTTTTGGAGAGATTATTATTCCCCGAAAACAATCTGCCGAACAACAAGCAACCGGGTTGCTACTTACTGCAAGATATCCAGAGGTGTGTGGAGTAAAGAAAGCTGCCCTGCCCGGGAATCGAACCCGGGTCCTAGAAGGTTATGCTTGAAGGCTTAGTTGAGGAAGGGCAGGAGAAGGCTCATGTGGAGCATAAACACCGTCATAGACCAGTTGGGCCGAGTGGCCTGTTTCTGTGCTGTATATTCTAATATATTCCAATGTATTCTCCCGCTCGCGAGGCGAGTGCTCTAACCAATACGCCTCAGGACTCCACTGTGCCAATTTACAGCCAATACAATTAAAAAGGGGAGCGATGAGAAAGGAAAGATGCAGTTATATTTAGCCCAAGACAAGGTCAGACTCTATGCGGTGCTTTAGAAACTGAATATCACATAATCCTGGCATTTGATATAGCGCTTTTCACGTCGGGAGGACGTCCCAAAGCACTTCACAGAACACACTGTAAAGTGAATTGACCAATTGCGCACAGCAATGTCCCACAAACAGTCATAGATTGAAAATGACCAATTTATTATTGTTTTGGAGGGATTATTATTAGGCTCTGTGTGGAGTAAGGAAACTTGCCCAAGGTTTCGCCCTCTGCCTGGAATTGAACTCAGGTCTCTCACTTGCAAAGCGAGTGCTCTAACCACTGGTTGTAAACGTACCTGAACCACCTGTGGCAGCCCTCCACAGTCAGACATCTAATTAGACAGAAAGAAAGCGGGTTAGACATTCACTCCACAGACAATTAATTCATCATCACTGCCACACCTCAGAATTTTATAATAATAATACTTTACAGAAGTTTCTGAATAAAACAGCTGGAGGTGGACTTGTCCTCTTTATAGTTGTGAATAGAAGCTAGGTTTGATACCTTCTGTTTAATGAGACCAGGACTTAAAGAGTTAAATTACGAGCACAGGTGGCATAAACTTGGTCTATATTGTCTATAGAGTTTAGGTTTGAGGCTGATCTGATTGAGGTGTTTAAAATGATAAAGGGGTTTGATAGAGCAGCTACAGAGACACTATTTCCTCCGGTGGGGAATCCAGAACCAGACCCATCATCTTAAGATTAGAGTCCGGCCATTTAGGAGTGGAAACAGGAAGCAGTTTGTCACACAAACGGTAGTGGGAATCTGGAACTCTCTCCCACAATAACGCTGTGGATTATGGCTGTGGATCCATTCACATTTTCAACACTGAGGTGGGAGATGTTTGTGAGGTCAGGGGATCAAGGGATACGGGGCAAAGCCGGGTAATTGGAGTTGAGGTACAGATCATCCACGATCTCATAGAGAATGACCAAACAGGCTCGAGGGGCTGAATGGCCTCCTCCTGTTTCTAGGTTTTGTCCGATTGCTGGTGCAGTGGGGCCAGGATTCAGCATCACTGTCCTACATAACCATTAGCCCCACTTTTCACCTCTGGTGACAGCCTTACTTTCTGGGCCAAGGACCCGATGGGCAATCTCAGTCGCCAAACTAAACCACCCATCGCCGTGGGCACTGCACCCAACCGATTCACGGGGAGAAATTCCGCCCGGGTTTAGATTTATTGTACACAGCATTTTGGGGGCACAGAATTTGGCCACTTCTTAAATACAGCCTCAAGTTGTTAAACTGGTTTGGGTAAGTTCTTCTAAGAACAGAAATCTGCCGTCAAAATTAAGGCTGAATTCACCATTAGTAAACCTTGCATTTGATATAGCGCCTTATCACTTATCAAGTGCTTCACATGATATACTGTAAAGTGGAGTGACTGTGCATTTGGTGGGCGAAACGACAAAGCCGATTGTGCACAGTAACATCCCACAAACAGTTGTGGATTGAGTGACCAAATTATTATTTATTTATACTTTGAAGGGATTATTATCCCCAGAAAACAATCTGCAAATCGACTAACAATCCAGTTCCTATTTACTGCTGGATAAGTAGAGGCTTATAGATAAAGAAACCGTTAAGAGATTTGCTGCATCTTTTTTTGTCCCTAACCCTAAGTAAGGGAACAGGAGAGTGACTCACAATGGATGAACACAGACCATTATTGTGCTGGCGGAATAAACAGAGCATAGGAACAGGAGGCCATTCAGCCCCTCAAGCCTGTTCCGCCATTCTATAAGATCATGGCTGACTTGAACCTCAACTCCAATTACCCATCTTTGCTCCATATTCCTTGAATACCCTGATCTAACGATAATCTATCCACCTCAGGCTTGAAAATTGATCCAGAATCCACAGCATTTTGGGGGAAAGAATTCCAGATTTCCACGACTCTGGTCCAGGCCTTTGTCACCTCTCGGCTGCACTACTCCAACACCCTCCTCGCCGGCCTCCCCTCCACTGCCATCCATACAATCCAGATTATACAAAACTCTGCCGCCCACATTCTCACCCGCACCAAACTCCGCTCCCTGATCCCCCCAGTCCTGGCCCTCCCCCCCACCCCCAAACTCCGCTCTCTGACCACCCCAGTCCTGGCCCTCCCCCCCACCCCCAAACTCCGCTCCCTGATCACCCCAGTCCTGCACCTCCCCCCACCCCAAACTCCGCTCTCTGACCACCCCAGTCCTGGCCCTCCCCCCCACCCCCAAACTCCGCTCCCTGATCACCCCAATCCTGCACCTCCCCCCCACCCCCAAACTCCGCTCCCTGATCACCCCAGTCCTGGTCCTCCCCCCCACCCCCAAACTCCGCTCTCTGATCACCCCAGTCCTGGCCAGACTGGACTTCAAGATCCTCACTCTTGTCTTCAAATCCCTCCACTCCTCTGCACCCCCCGACCTCTCTGACCTCCTCTCGCCTCACAACAGTACCCATTGCCTACTTTCCTCCGGGTCTGGCCTCTTCCATGTCCCCCAAGTCCTCTGCTCCCCCCTCGGCGGCTGTGCCTTCAGCCATTACGCCCCGAGGCTCTGGAACTCCCTTCCTCACTCCCTTCCCCTCGTCCCCTTTCTTCCTATTTCCAGGTCTCTGCTGTAGACCTTTCTTTTCAACCGCACCTTTGGTCACCTTCCCCCCCACCCCGCACCCTGCCCCTGGCTCCCCCCTCCCCCTGGCTCCCCCCTCACCCTGGCTCCTCCCGCTCCCACTGGCCCCTCCCCCCCGGTTCGGCCCCGGGATCCGTTACCGTGAACCTCTGAGACACCATCTGGCGTGGAGGCCGCTATATAAATCCAAGTTGTTGTTGTTGTTGAAAAAACACCTCCTGATTTCATCCATAAATGGCCTGGCTTTAATTTTAAGATGATGCCTCTTGTTCTGGATTCCCTTTATCATTTTAAACACCTCATTTAGGATCAAACTTCTAAACTCAAGGAAATGCAAGCCAAGTTTATGCAACCAGTCCTCATAAATTAACCCTTTTAGTGCTGCGATCATTCTGGTGAATCTGCACTGCATGACCAGACAAAAGAGGAAACACCTCCCATTGAAAAGAGGGCAAGTCACATCAAACCAATTGCTTATCGCTGGCTCCAATGCACACGAGTTAGCACTAGTCCGGGTGAGGTGGTCTGAACACACGAACGAGCATGCAAGTGAGCCATCTGCATTCGAATCAAGTGCAAAATAATGTTGGAGAGTTAAAAAAGTTGCCAGATTCGTGAATCAACTCAATGTTTTCTGGCACACTACAAATCGTAAAGAAACTTCACAAATGGATCTGCTGCAGAGCACACCACAAGTAACATTTGAGTGAATAAGGGCCATTGAGTCAGTATTATTGAGCACCTCCAGATGCTATACCAGTGAACTTTAGATACTGTGCAACTGCACTAAATAGCCTTGTGGTGAGCACCTCTATATAAGGCTGATAAGCAGCAGTAAGTAACAATAATCCTTTGATTATAGGGTCTTATCATGTCATTAAGACGCCTCAAAGCGCTTCACAGAATATACTGTAAAGTGGAGTGACTATGTATTTTGTGGGCGAAACGCAGCAGCCAATTGCTCACAGCAGGTCCCAAAAACGGTTGTGGATTGAGTGACCAAATTATTGTATCTCCACATAGGCTGAGATACTGAACCCCTATGGCGTGGCCCAGCATTGAGTAACTTTACACAGGCAGCGAAAGATAACAGGAGGCACATGTGGAGGAATACAGAAATGGCACAAGAGAAAAAAAGCCTTCCTGGTATCAGCAGTTTTTTTGCAACTGACATTATACTAGTCACCCCTGATATAGCACACACTCATGCTGTGTGCTAATAGTTACATGCTGTACCATGCTTTGCCACAGTCTCTATAGAGGATATTAATTACATTGTCCAAACACAGGCTTTAAGCGCTCTGAGACGCTATCCTGCGTGGAGGGCACTATGTATAAGTGCAAGTTGTTGTTGTTAACCTCCCCTTCTGTCCCTCTCCCCACCGTCGGGTTGTTAAGCAGTGATCTTACAGTGGAATCCTTTTGGTCATCCACATACTAATACTGCCCATTAAGCTTGGCAGAAGAGAGCAAAGTTGTGACTGTGTTGTCATATACTTCAATAGAGCTGCCAAAATATATCCTCTATAAACACAGTGAGCCCTGAACATGCCCATCACACCACAGCTAAATCCTTTAATGTGACGTGCAGTTGGAATGCTGACCATCTCGTCAGCAGGATGCTTTTACACCAATAAGGTTACAGAGGGGCCAGCAGTCCCTTCACAGGCGATCTTCAACCCAAGGCAAACCTCACTGCAGCTCTGTGGCTCTTCTTCACATGTACACTAGACATGCGGATGCTGGGCCCTGCAGATCAGCCCAATTTTGCCTTCACAAGATAAATTATTATAAATAATTCTTGCATTTGACATAGCGCCTTATCACATCTTTGAAACGTCTCAAAGCGCCTCACAGAATATATCATAAGAACATAAGAATTAGGAGAGGAGTAGGCCATTCAGCCCCTCGAGCCTGTGCCCCGCCATTCAATAAGATCATGGCTGATCTATTCTAACTCCACCGACCCGCCTTCTCCCCATATCCCTTAATCCCTTTATCCACAAGAAATCTATCAATCTCAGTCTTGAATATGTTCAAGGACTGAGCATCTACAGCCCATTGGGGTAGAGAATTCCATAAATTCACTGCCCTCTGAATGAAGAAGTTTTTCCTCAACTCAGTGCAAAAGGGCTTACCCCGAATTTTAAGACTGTGACCCCTGGTTATAGTTTCTCCAACCAGCGGAAACGTATCCCTCTATCTATTCTGTTGTGCCCCTTAATAATCGTATAGGTTTCTATAAGATCACTCATTCTTCTATATTCTAGAGAATATAGGCCTAAATTGCTCAACCTATCCTCATAACTCATCCCCCTCATCCCAGGTACCAACCCAGTGAATCTACGTTGTACCCCCCCCCAAGGCAAGTACATCCTTTCTTAAATAAGGAGACCAAAACTGCACACAATACTCCAGGTGCGGTCTCACCGGGGCCCTATACAGTTGCAGCAAGACTTCCCTACTCTTATATTCTAACCCCTTTGTAACAAATGCCAACGTACCATTATCCTTCCTAATTGCTGCTGTACCTGCAAACTAACTTTTTGTGACTGGTGCACAAGGACACCCAAGTCCCTCTGAACGCTAACACTATCTAATCTCTCCCCTTCTAAAAAATAATTTGCTCTTCTGTTTTTGCTGCCTCACACTTCCCTACATTATACTTCATCTGCCACCTATTTGCCCACTCACCTGCCTATCTATATCTAATTGCATTTTTTTAATGTCATCCTCGGTGTTTACTCTCTCTCTGGTTTAGTGTCATCTGAGAATTTGAATATATTAAGTTCAATGTCCTCATCTAGATCGTTGATGTAGATTGTAAATAGTTGAGGCCCAAGCACTCGACTAGTCACATCCCGCCAATCTGAGAAGGACCCGTTTATCCCTACTCTTTCCTGTCTTCCCATTAGCCATTCTTCAATCCATGCTGATATATTCCCCTGAATTCCATGGGCCCTAATCTTGTGGATCAACCTCTTATATGGCACCGTATTGAATGCCTTTTGGAAATCTAAATACACTACATCCACTGATTCCCCCCTATCTAATCTACTTGATATGTCCTCAAAAAAATCTAAAAGATTTGTTAAGGATAACTTCCCTTTTGTAAATCCATGTTGACTCTGTCTAATCATATTGTGGTCCTCTAAGTATCCCACTACGACATCCGTAATTAAGGACTCGAGAATTTTCCCTACCACTGATGTCAGACTAACTGGTCTATAGCTCCCCATCTTTTCTCTCCCACCCCTCTTAAATAGTGGTGTGACGTTTGCGATCTTCCAATCAATGGGAACCGTTCCAGAATCCAGAGAATTTTGAAAGATCAGACACAAAGCCTCCACTATCTCATGAGTTACCTCTTTTAAAACCCTGGGATGCAAACCATCAGGTCCAGGGACTTGTCACTTTTTAACGCCAACCTTTTTCCCAAGCATAAAGTGTGTTTTGTGGGAGAGTCACATCAGCCAGTGGCACACAGCAGTGTCCCACAAATAGCCAACAATTTCCACACATTCACAGATTTTCTATTTTTTTGGATACTGCATTGGGATCAGGAACTGTGGCTGATTTTCATCCCAAACCCCTTTCCTGGGAAGCAGCTCCCCCACCACAGCGCCCTTACCATGATCAGCTAAATCAGTACAGACAAGGGAACAATAGCTGACTTTGGGCCTTTCTTGTCTGTGTGTCTCAGTGAAACATGAGAGCACTTTCTTCTTTCTCCTCCGAACAGTTACTACACTAACAAGAGCCAATTGCCTTGATGCCCAATAGAAAAACAACGTCTTTTTCGGTAATTATTATGAATAATTATTAATTATTATTAATAATCATTGCATATGAAACAGCGCCTTATCACATCATTGTGACGTCTCAAAGCACTGTACAGAATATATTGTAAAGTCGATTGACTGTATTTTGTGGGCAAAATGCGGCAGCCAATTGCACACAGTAACCGTCCCACAAACAGTTGTGGATTGATCAATTTTTTTTACGGGATTATTCCCACTGGAAAGTGATCCATCAATCGCCAAACGATCCGTCCTCTCGCTTTCTCTAAACAAAGCACTACAGGACTCAATTACAAAGAACATTTCCCCTGGCTTCAGCTATTATTATGATGAATGGCCTCTTTACCAGCTACAGGTTTACTACCATACATCTGTGCGTCACACAAGGCAATTCTTCCTTCAGACTTACAACAGTCAGGACCTGGGAACCTGGTAAGAAAACTGCATGTCCTGTAAAGTTTAAGGGGTAGGCAATTCAGTACTTTAATTTACAGACTGAGGTACTATTCACTTTGTTACAGGAGAAGCTTTATGATAGTAACAAAGTGAGGTGATCTTAACAAAAATCCTCGCATTTGATATGGTGCTTTATCATGTTAGGACATATCAAAATACTTATAATAATAATAATTTTTGCATTTAATACAGGGCCTTATCACATCTTCCGAGATATCTCAAAGCGCTTCACAGAATATACTGTAAAGTGAATTGACTATATATTTTGTGGGCGAAACACAGCAGTCAATTGCACACAGCAGCGTCCCACAAACAAATGGACTGAGTGACCATATTTTTTTAAAAGGGATTATTACCCCCGGAAAAGCGATCCATCAATTGATTAACAACTGGGTTCCTACTTACTGCTAGGTAAACCGAGGCATGTGGAGTAAGAAAATTTGCCTAAGGTTTCATGCTGCCCGGGAATCGAACCCGGGTCCTCTCACTTGCGAGGTGTGTGGTCTAACCAATACACTACAGGACACAACAGCCTGTCAGGCTTTGCAGAGGCATGTGTGTATAAAATGTAGTGACTATATATTTGCCTACAATTGCCTCAAAGCAATGACCCCAAAGTTATTTAGAGAACGACCGATTTTTTTTTAATCTGGGGAACAGTTAGTCAGCACTTCTTGAGAAACTCCACTTTCTTTTCATATAGTGCCTTGGGATCTTTTAACGACCACCTGAACAGGCAGACAGACAGAACCTTTAACATCTCACCTGAAATAAGATGAACGTAAAATACATGGACGTGGACCACTATGGTTCTACAGAGAATTAAACATATAGCACCGAGCAAGGAGTTTTAATGCTCAGATTCAGACATTGCTGAATTGCGGCAAGTGGATTCTCACTAACAGCACAGTCTGGTTGATTTAAGCCATTTTGCACACTGCAAGGTCCCACAAAGAAGTAAATGACCTGAAGGCAGAACACTGGGAGACATCTTTTCACTTCCATCTGAACAGGCAAGCTGGACTTCAGATTAACATCTCATCTGAAAGATAATATAGAGCTTCCCTCAACTTCCCCCACTTGGAAGGCAGTGCAGACCGTGAAAGAATAGAAGGGTATGTGAGGGAATGAGGAGTGGATAGAGACTCAAAAGCCGGCAAACACAAGTTGGGCTGAATGACCTGTTTCCGTGCTGTAAATTCTATGTACTGCTTGGTGGCAGATTCTCAGCTAGCCTTATTTCCTTTAAAACCAATATTTTTTGAATCTAAGACATTCCATGAAACAGCACTGTTTCATTCAGGCTCATCTTCTGTAAACATCCTAAGTCTGGTAACTGGTGCATTAACCTGTTACTACTTGTAGCTAGAGAGAGTTACCTTCAGCAGAGTGGTTTTGGTTGGGTCCAGTCTTGTGTTACATTCAACCTGAAACAGAATATCACAATTAACATTGTGAAGCAATACTACTAATAATAAAAATTGCTGCATTTGATAAGCACCTCATCATTTGAGTGAGTCGTCTCAAAGCGCTTCACAGGATATACTGAAAAGTAAATTTACTGTATATTTTGTGGGGGAAACGCGGCAGCCAATGTGCACCACAGCTTCCCGCAAACAGTCGTGGATTATTATTTATTTTATTTTGAAGGGATTATTAACCCTGGAAAGCGATTCGCCAATCGACTAACAACCAGGTTCTTACTTACTGCTAGGTGAACAGAGGTGTGTGCAGTAGAGACTTGCCTAACGTTTCACCCTGCCAGGGAATCAAATTCAGGTCATCTCACTTGCAAGGCAAGTGACCACTAAGCTACAGGATTCCTTTCACTGGGATGTGGTTACACTGTTTGCCCTTAGAAACCCGCTGCCCAAGTCGTCATTGTTCCTCTCTGAGCCTTGGCAATGAGTGTTGGCAGCTGTTCCGACTGTAGACGGCATCACAGCTGAGCCTGACCTTCCCCACTCCTTGCTGCCATGTTTAAACACAGACAGCAGTGTATGCTGTAGAAGGCACAGAAGCAGGGACTCTGGGTGGTTTTCTTCCCTGGAAAAGTTGGGGCAATTGAGCCCTGGCTGAGACCAGACTGGGATTTAAACCAGCGATCTGGAAACTGTGGCTCCACTACACCATTAGGCTACTCCACATTTCTTATTCCTTACTTGTCGCTAACCAATTGCTATCGGTCAATAAATCAGTCGCTATTTAAAACTGCACACTAACTAATTTATCTGTATACAGACTGGGTTTTGTGTGGTATCAATAACAACAACTTGCAATTATATAGCACCCCTCACACTGAAAAGCGCTTGACAGTGGCAGAGCACGACGCTGAGACAAGGGGTAACTGTAAGTACAATCGAAGAGGAAGGTCTTCAAGCATGACCTGAAGATGAGGAAGGAGGGTGCAAGGCGGAGGGATTGAGGGAGAGTGTTCCAGAGTTTCAGGGTGCAGTGGCTGAAAGCGCAGCCACCAATGATGTAACGGAGGGCATGAGGACCAACAGTCAAGTGGAGGCAGCGGTTGGTGGATTGGGGTGGAGAAGTAGGGAGGTCCCAGGGTATGAAGATGAGTGTGAAGATCTTGAAATCGATCGATTCGATGATAGGGAGCCAATGGAGCCTGGCTAGAACAGTTTTGATGGGGTATGGAGTTCAGTGAAGGGGTGTATGCAGGCGGTGGAGTTCTGAATTAGGTTAACCCCCAATTAGTTTTCCTCAACCAAAATTACCATCCTCTACTGAAGCATGAGGAGGCCCGCTCCAATTCTTGACTGATGGAACGAAGATGTTATATCCCTATACTGGTTATAAAGCTTCTAGGACCTGAGCATAGGCCGTGCTCATTTTATGGGACCTTCACAGCCAGCAGAGCAACCTTCCAGTCCTTATTCTGACCAATTCCCAATCTCAATATTAAACAGTATTGTCTTATTCTGACTCCACCATCAATGGAAATTTTCAGACCCATCATTTTCTGGAACAATTGTCATGTACTTTTCAAGCTGTTTTATAATCTGTAAATATTTGATTTGAATGTTCATGTTGCCTTCCTTGATTTTATTGTATTTTTCTTGCAGTGGGAGATGATACAATTGTGAGAATTATTTAAGAGTTAATGAGGGATGTTAACAGTCCACTTAATTGTCTCCCAAAACATACGGTTATTATTCTAGTCTGCACATACCACAGCATCCACAGCAGGTGAACTGTCTCCAACCACCAGCAACGAGTGACATCTGTAAACCAGAAACAAAGGGAGCAATTCATTAACGCAGTCCCAATGCACACCACAAAATTTGCCACAGGCAAACACAGCTGCTCAAAGACCACACTAAAGGATCACAGCCAAAGCTTTGTGAAGTGATCTCGACAGAATGTTGTGCATTCAGGGGTCAGAGCCTGAGATGAGTGGCTGTCCTCCAGACAGTCAATCCTCTAACGGTGCTAATCCAGCCTACTTTACACTCTTAACTTTACATTTCATTTGTTCAAATAAACAAGTTTCTGGACATTCTGAAGATTCCCAAATGAATCTCTCTGGATCTGGGTGGTATACTTGCTGTGTTATTATTAATAATAATATTCACACTTTCATGTGAATGGCCAATTTTTACTTTGGAGATTGCTGGTTAGGACACTGAAAAAAACTCCATTCTCCTTACGAATAATGCCATGAAATCGTTTAACTCCAACTGATCAGGCAGATGGAGCCTCGGTTTAACAGCTCATTCAAGAGAAGGAATAATAATCCTTGCATTTGATGTAGCGCCTTATCGCGTCTTCACAGAATATATTTGTAAAGTGAATTGGTAATTTTGGTGAACCATGGCAGCCAATTGCACACAGCACTGTCTCATGAACAGTTGTGGATTTGGTGACCATATTATTTTTTTAAAGGAACTATTGCCCCTGAAAAGCAATTTGCCAATCGATTAACAATCAGGTTCCAACTTACTGCTGGTAAACAGAGGCGTGTGGAGTAAGGAAACTTGCCTAAAGTTCCACCCTGCCCAGGAATCGACCCAGGTCCTCTTGCTTGCTTGGCGCGCACTCTGAACCACTACACAACAGGACTGCACTCTATAGGATTCCTTAGACCTAGTTACAAGGTTCACATTTTCTCTTCTCCATGAGCCCAGTGCAACATTCCTTTACACAGTAAACCTGGCTGGTGGTGAAATCAGCTGTGTCCTGAACAACAAGCACAAATGCAGAGTTAATCTGTAACTCACTTTAAGGTCATATAATTGTGCATCCCAGCTACAGGGCGTTCAATGTCCAGGTCTCTTCGGCTGCGAGGAGGAAAAGTCACTCATTAGTTATAACAAATCACATCCTGAAGTCAGCTCTTCCCAGAGTAATCAAAAGATCCCCTTTCTGCCCCTCCCGCTCACTGACTAATCCTATCACTCAGCCAATGCTGGTGTAACCACGGAGAAGAACTTATATAAGTCACTTTACAACAAAAAACAATGACATTTGCACAGTGCCTTTCACATCGGGAAGATGTCCCAAGCAGCTGAACAGCCAAAGATTTGGACCTAAGCTGGGGTTTGGGATCAGGTGGGGTGGAGGGCAAGGAGGGTAGGAGGGTGACTGAAGGCGTGGTTGAAGATAAGGCACATGGTTGAGACAGGCCTTTTGAAGGAGGCAAGGGAGGGGGTGAAGTGAAGGAACTGTGGAATGGAGTTCCAAAAGATGGGGGAAGGGAGGCCGAAGGCCTGACTGCCGATGGGAGGGGAACCGATGTGGAGTCCTGTAGCTCAGTGGTTAGAGCACTCGCTTTGCAAGTGAGAGACCTGAGTTCAATTCCCGGCAGAGGGCGAAACCTTGGGCAAGTTTTCTTACTCCACACAGAGCCTAATAATAATCCCTCCAAAACAAAACAATAATAAATTGGTCATTTTCAATCTACGACTGTTTGTGGGACATTGGCTGCCGTGTTTGCCCACAAATATACAGTCAATTCACTTTACAGTGTGTTCTGTGAAGCGCTTTGGGACGTCCTCCCAACATGAAAAGCGCTATATCAAATGCAAGGATTATTATTATTATTATTATAATCGGGCAGGTGACATGGAGCAAGCCGGAGCCTGCTGAGCAGAGAGAGCTAACAGGTGTAATGAGTTAACAGGTCACCGAGATAGGGAGGAGCAAGGCTGTGGAGGGCTTTGAAGGTGAGGATTTACTCCCTTGGGTAGGGGGCTGTCCCTTCACGCTCTTCCCCAGATCATCTGAAATTGCTGACTTGAGCTATTGGCTTTGTGTAAGCATAAACACTGGGTTGTGGATTTAATCTTCACGTACACATGGAGCTGCTTTATTAGTTTAACTGTAAGCACATTAGTCCCTCTTACTGCTTTGTAAGCTTGTTTACAGTAATAAAAAAAAACCTTACTGGTTGTAGGAATTGATAAAGTGATGCAGGTTGGTCTGATTGATGTCGTGAGAAATGTGATGGCGGTAGGTCTGAATCATGCCAAGGTTGTTGTGAACTTCCTCCTAAAAAGAAGTGTGTGAAATACATTGGGTTTTGTCAAACAACAACAAATTACATTTATGTAGCGTTTCACATCGGGACGACATCCTAAGGTGCTGGACATTCAGTGTTTCCCATTTTAAACCCAAGTGTCCCAGTGTAAACTCAAACCCAGGTGCATTTCAAAAGGACTAGTCTAGTCATATGTACGACCCTAGTTCAGATCCCACCCCACCACCATTTCTGACTCCTATCTTCCTATCATTTCGAGTTTCTCTAACTCTGTTTAGACTCGCTATTAACACACGTCAACAAACGCCAAAAATAACTATGGGAACAAGTCATTCTGGCAACTACAGCAATAAAATCTCATCACAAATATTGACTGTTTCTGATAAACCCAATGAGTTAAGGAGAGGCTTGCAGACATTATTTGGGGAGCCTTCAGGTCTTTGTTACATTTTGTACCCAGACCTAAACATCAGCTTTAGAATGGGGAACACTGTTCCAAGTATACGGGGAACTGTGTGAATGAGACAACTTGACACTCAGCTCACCTTGCTAAAGAGGTGTGAAATCACAACATCATCCAAGGCACCAGTCAGACCAGTGAGCTAGCAGAGAGGGAAAAAAATATATTTTATTAAAATCTTTTTTGCTGCATTACACACATCAGGCACATCAGACTGACTCAGTTGGTAGTATTTGCACCTCGGAGTCAATGAAGGACATTGAGTCCTGTAGGGTTTCCGTGGAGTCCTGTAGCATATTGGTTAGAGCTTTTAAAGTGTTATAAAGTGTTATATCAAATGCAAGGATTATGATAGCATTATCATTTCTGGCATAAACTTCCTTTTGGTCATTACCCCACCCTAACCACCACCCCCACTAGAACCAAAACAGGAGACTCAATTCTTCCCATTAACCTTTGAGCTCCAGTGGTAACATAATGTGTTTGTAGGTGACGAGAGCAGAAATATAACAAGTTAAACATCCACTTTTAATATGTCTCCAATTTGCACTTAATGAGGGACAATGGAAGCATGCAACAGAGTCTAGATCTCCCTCACTGTAAGAACAATAATAATAGTCCTTGCATTTGATACAGCACCTTTCACATTAGGAAAGCGCTTCACAAGTAATATTGTAAAGTGGAGTGACTGTGTTTGGTGGGTGAATGCAGCAGCCAATTTGTACAGTCATGTTCCGCAAACCGCTATGAAGTGAAACACCAATTTTACTGGGGGGACACTGGGAGAGAGAAAATTCCTTTAAAATCCACCTGAACAGCCAGACGGGGCTTTGGTTTACCGTCCCATCCAAGGACCGCACCTCCGACAATGCAACACCCCCCCCAAGCACAGCACTGTAGCGTCAGGTTTACTATACAAGTTCCATGTCCCAAGGTGGGGCTTGAACCTACAACCTTCCAACTTGGAGGCGAGAGTGCTACTAACTTGAGCCAGACTGACCTACAATCGGATCGCTGGTGTGCAACAACTATAGAACATCTACCAAACTTCCCCAGAACTTTTAGTTAATAAATACCGGACTCGCTTTACATTATTACCTTAGATGCTGCCCAGTCCATCCAGCCTTCAGCACAGGGGTTGATATTAATGAGGCACAGGCCCTCAACAAGGTCCGGGTGGGCCAACTGTAAGATTGTAAAAATGACAAGAGGTTTTGTACTTTATGCATATTTAGCCGCTAGAGGTAAATCGTCAAAATGGCTAAATAGTTTATGCCAAACTTACAGCAAATTTAGTCAGGATAAATGCACCCGCTCCAACTCCCAATCCAATGATGCTGGTCACACTGAAAGAGAAAAATCAAACTATTTCAGGAAGTGGGAACATCTGTACAGATAATTATAATTCTTGCATTTGATATTATGTCTTATCACGCCGTTGAGACATCTCAAAGCACTTCACGGGATAAACTGTCAAGTATATTGACTGTATATCTTTGTTGGTAAACATGGCAGCCAATTGCGCACAGCAGTGTCCCACAAACAGTTGTGGATTGAGTGAACAAATTATTATTTTTTGAAGGGATTATTAGAATTAAAAAAGAGGATTGCAGACGCACAAACATAAATCAAGCAGCATGTGTACTGTGTTTTCACAAGAATTGCTATAAACACACAAGCAAGCACATGTATGGACGGCATATAAAAACTGTTTGAAATCACAAGGAAAATAATAATAAACCTTGCATTTGATATAGCTCCTTATCACGTCCTCCAGATGTCTCAAAGCGCTTCACAGATATCCTATAAAGTGATCTGACTGTATATTTTGTGGGCAAAACGCGGGAGCCAATTGCACATAGCAGCGTCCCACAAACAGTCATGCATTGAGTGATCAATTTATAATTTTTTTTTGAAGGAATTATTACCCCCAGAAAAGTGATCCTCCAATCGACTAACAACTGGGTTCCTACTTACTGCTAGGTAAGCAGAGGCGTGAGTAAGGAACCTTGCCCAACGTTTCATTCTGCCAGGAATCAAACCCAGGTCTCTCACTTGCGAGGCGCGTGCTCTAACTACTGAGCTGGATGATGCACACAGTTGGGGAATTGGAGTATATTAGTAGACTGCAGAAACTTGGCAAATAAACCAATGATAGCTATGTGGAAAATTGTATTATTCAACCTTACTTAAAATGCTTGAGGATTTGTGGAAGTATGTCAGCCAGCTGGTCCATTGTTGGATAATGGTACCTGAAAGTCAGAACAAACAAAACCATTCAGCATGGATATTGTCAAACCACCATCAACAACTTATAACTATATAGCACCCCTGACACAGGGGAGGGTCCCAGAGTGCTTGACAGTGGCAGAGCACAACACTGAGCCGGGGGGAGGAAGGCACATGCCTCGACCCGAAACTCAGGAAAACAAAGACGCAAACGTGAAGATGTAGAAGGAGAGGGCAAGGCGGGGGGATAGAGGAAGAGTGGTCCTGAGTTTCAGGGCGTAGTCGCCATTTATCTGGGATCAGATTGTTTTTTATAGGAATGGTCACAAGGAAAATATTTGATAAACCAAATTATTCATACATCTGACATTCAATTAACCAATCTCGTTTCTTAGATTAGGAGTGCAAATGAATTGGGATTTCTAAATTCTATTCAATAAACAGAACTATTCAATTATTCAATTAACTGAATTTCACTGTACTTCATCTTAGGCTTCATAAACTTGGGGAAATTTAGAATTTGCGGTTCTGGGGGAAGTTTGCACATACCTTGGGTCAAATATTTGCAGGTGGTTAAAATCAGAAGCATTTTTCAAGTCTACAAATTGCAAGTTTATTTTAATTTTAATGAAAAATTTTTTTTAATGATGACCATTAATGATGGCCTCTCTGCTCCCACCCTCTGGATCTCCATCCCACAGTCCCTTTGTCTTACCCCCTCCCTTGACTCCTTCAAGGCTGTCTCAAGAGCCACCTCATCAATCATGCCTTCTTAGTCCTACCTTCCCTGCTCTCCACCCCTCCTGATCCCAATCATCAGCTCGGGGACAAATCCTTGACTGTCCAGTGCCTTGGGACATCCTTCTGATGTGAAAGGCGCTAACAAATGACATTTGTTGTTGTTGATTTCCATTTTGCAGGGTTTCTGCCCCTGGACTTTTGCCTAAAACATCCTCTCAGTTGGATAGTCAAGACATTTGACCAAATAGTAAGTCGGATAAAACCAGCTGAGTGGTGAGTTAAGCTATAAGGAGCATCAGTCTCCAAGTCCATCACCATAACAGTGATTAATATCAAGCCACAAGACTCTGCATAGAGTGCTGTTGCACAGGTACTGGCTGCTCTCTGGTTCTCCTCCCAAATGGCTCTCTCACACACACACTAATGCTGAAGAAGGACCAGAATCCGGAACCCTGATTTTTGCCCACTTTACCCTGGGAAGGCCGGGGCTAATGAAGTGTAGCCTCCCACTGGCTGAGACCATTAAGCTCGGGATGACCTGGGAAATGAAGCAGCAGGCTCTATCCACTATACTATGGTCTTAGCTGGACAAGCAGCGGGAAAGCTGCTCTCTCAATGGCAAGCTATGCGGTTTTAGCTGGTTAGACTCCAGCAGTTGCCCCAACAGACACTCTGGGGTCCCTAAGCCTTCCCAATCTTGACCAATACTCTCTGGAATTAGGTAAGCAGGATGTGTCCCTCCAGGGAGAGAGAGAGAGAGCACATTCCATTCCAACAATCTATCTCTAGGATTTCCATGTGTAGGTGGGATGTATGGAAATCGCAGCTTGGTTTGGAGACTCTTAAGCACGATGATGAGTTTCCGCACATGTCAGACACTTGGCTGGCCAAAAAAAATTGGAATTCTTCTACAACTCGCTAAACGCTCAAGATTGTAATCCTAATCTAGTGATAATTTTTGGTTGCTGCAAATATTGTCAGGATACAATCTAAGAAGCCAGATACTCTACTGGATACTTTGGTGGGTTACCCACTTTGTAATGAATCAATCCTTACCCTTGTGGAAAGTTTTTAGCTCCCATCTCCTGGCCAGGTGCATCAACGTGGCATACTGCAAAATGGCGGACAATCTCTTGCATGTCCTCAAAGTTGAAGAGAGAATTGAAGCAGGATTTGTCTGCAAAAAATTTTTTTTTAAAATACACAATTGTTAATTGAATACTTCTAGATTTTTTGTGCCACTAAAAAAATATCAAATAATAAAGCTAAACTCAGTCAGTGTTGAAGCCATGAACTGCTTAACATCCAGTAGCCATGAAATAGATGTGGAAATGGTGTGAAGCTTTCATTCATTCCCTTCATAGTGCCCCTCACGCAGGGTAAAGTCCCAGAGTATTTGACAGTGGGGGAGCATGACGCCCAGCCGGGGGAGGAGGCCGTAGGCATGGTCGAATAGGAAGATATTCTGGCACAACCAGAAAATGCGGAAGGAGGGGACAAGGTGGAAGAATTGAGGAAGAGAGTTTCCAGAATTTGGCGGTACAGTGGCTGAAAGTGCGGCCGCCAATAGTGGAACGAAGGGTATGAGGGACAGGCAGGTGGCCGGAGCTAGTCGAGCGGAGACAGCGGGCAGTGGGTTGGGGAGTGAGCAGGTTGGAGAGGTAGGTGCCAGGGCATGAAGGGATTTGAAGATGTGTGAGGATCTTGAAATCGATCCAAATATTTTTTTCCCGATTATTTAGTTCCTGATTATTAATAATAATAATCCTCACATTTGATATACCACTATTCACATTAAGAGGACATCTCAAAGTGCTTCACAGGATATACTACAAAATGGAGTGACAGTATATTTTCAGTCAATTTCCCCACAGCAACATCCCACAGACAATCATGAAATGAATAACAAATTTTATCAGGAGAATAGTCCCAGATATCTGGAGCAACTCCCTTCCTTGAAGAGTGCTGTAGGAGTGCTGTGGGACTTTGGTTTAACATCTCATCCAAAGAATGGCACCTCTGACAATTCAGCACTCCCCCAGCACTGCACTGGGGTGTCAGCTTGAACAAAATGAGATCCGAAACTCGGGGACTTGAACCCACAACCTTCTGATTGGAGAGGTGAGAGTTTTGCCAATTGAGCCAGGCTGACATACAGTAGCCAAAATAGAAGAGGACAGAAGCCAAACATCTTAAACATTAACAGGTGTCAAGCTAAGGCTCCAAAATTTAGGTTTCTCTGTACTGTTCCTTTAAAACTAATCTTTCATCCCAACCCTGCACCAGCTTTTCTCCCAGACATATTTAGTTCCTGATTAATTCGCTGAGCGAGGGTTGTAACAGCAATTCAATCAAACCAAATATAAGCAAACTGCTCTGCTCCATTTACATCAAAGTTAAAGTATCCAGTTAAGAGATTTAACTTGGAAGAAGACAAAAGACTTTGAGGTTGATCCTTAACTATCTCCTCATGAACTCAGCTGCAGATTTCAGTGGATTTAGGAATGAACCCAGCTGAAGGTCAGGGGTACTATAAACTTGACTATTATGGTTAAACCTTTCCAAATAAGAGAGGTGGACAGGGTAGGGAAGATTTCAGCCATTATTTGAGAACACACAGCTCTAAATGAGAAGAATACAGAACAGAATGCAACCAAGATGCAAACTACAGAATGCCCCAAGTGTAAAATAGCAAGCACAACATCCTCAACTAAAAGACAAGAGCCTTTTTAACAGCATCTCAAAGTGGGTCCAACAGGTTTCGGTTCTGGGATGGAACAGGCACCAAGATCAGTGTTGCCGCTCGACTGTTCTTTGGAACATTAGCTCTGCAGAGCAAGGGACGTTCAGAGTTGATTCGTGAAACACCTCCGGTTTTACTCAATCCCCCATATAAAATTGGTCATTCACTTCATAATAATAATAATAATAATAATCCTTGCATTTGATATAGCGCTTTTCACGTTGGGAGGACGTCCCAAAGCGCTTCACAGAACACACTGTAAAGTGAATTGACTGTATATTTGTGGGCGAACGCGGCAGCCAATTGCGCACAGCAATGTCCCACAAACAGTCGTAGATTGAAAATGGCCAATTTAATTATTGTTTTTGTTTTTTGGAGGGATTATTATTAGGCTCTGTGTGGAGTAAGGAAACTTGCCCAAGGTTTCGCCCTCTGCCTGGAATTGAACTCGGATCTCTCACTTGCAAAGCGAGTGCTCTAACCACTGAGCTACAGGACTCCTTCATGACTGTTTGTGAAACATTGCTGCATGCATATTGGCAGTCACGTTCGCCCATAAAATACAGTCACTGCACTGAATGATGTGATAAGGTATATCAAATGAAAGTATTTATTGTAATTGGAATTATGGGGATGGGTATTCCCAAATTGGGAAGTTGGGGATATTAACACCTTTAAAACGCAAACAATATTTAATAGTCCTGAAGTAGCTTGCTTTACTGGCACAAACAGTATACATAATAACAGAGGCATCTGGCCAGGCAATTATAAGATTATAAACCAAACTAATCCCAGATTTGAGTACTGCTGGTTGACACTGGGTTCAAGCTAGTATATTAGTGACCCACTTGGAGCTCCGACACAATAACCTGACTTAGTTCCTTTACAGGTCAAGTGCCCGAGAGGAGGTTCCTGTGTGGAATGAAAACATTTGGCAGTTTCAGATGCTAAGAGGCTTATCGTCTTAAGGTTAGATTTTGAAATTAAAAAGGTTTAATTCAGTCAAGATGGTGCCCTAATCCAAAGGCTTCTTGTTGCAAGTATTTTATGGAACAGGAGCTCTTCCAAATGTCTCAATATATATATATATATATTATATATGTATGAAGCTCGGTAATCTGGTTCCTGAGCCAGGTGGGTACGCAGTATTGCAAGGCACTGCTGATGACAGCACAGTCCAGTCTGGTTCATCGGGGGCAGTCCTGGGGGCAGAGAATTCTCCCACTTAACTCCTGTTAACTCTGCAGCCAAACCCCAACAGGTAGGGTGGTCCTAGCTGGCCAAACAGCTTGAAAGCTTGCCAGGCAGCGATATCAATGGCAAACGACGCAGTTTTAGCTGGTTAGACTCCAGCAGTTACCCCAACACACATTCTGGGGTCTTCAAGCCTTGGTTCTTACCAACCTGCGCCTAAATACTTTCTGGAATAGGTTAAGCAGGATGTGTTCCTCAAGGGGGGGGGCGGGGGGGAGAGAGAGAGAGAGAGAGCGCATTCCATTCCAACAATCTATCTCTGGAATTTCCATATAGGTGGGATGTATGAAAATCTTAACTTGGTTTGGTTTGGAGATTCTTAAACAGGTGATGGGTTTTCATCATTGGATACCCATCAAAACACCCGGCTAACCCCAAAAAACAAAGCTAAACAATTTGGCACTATTATACAGGGTACAATACTAGAGATACATTGTTGAGAGGCTACTCATGAAACCATCAGTACAGTGAGCTGGATCACAGGGTGTGCGGCCAAAGGGTTACACAACTCCCTGCTTGTCGACTTCCCAACTCTTTCTTCCACAAGCTGCAGATCATCCAGAACTCTGTGACCACCTCACCCCCAAACGGCTCCACTGGCTTCCCATCCCCCAGGGGATAGAGGTCAAAATCTTCTTCCTTGCCTTAAACGCCCTTCACGTCCTTGCTCCTTCCTACCTGTGACCTGCTAACCCCATATCAACCTGCCAGCTCCCTCCACTCAGCAAGCTCCGGCCTGCTCCATATCTGCCTGGCCCGCCCCACCATCACCAGTCGGGCCTTCAGCCTCTCCTTCAAGGCCCATCTCAAGACTCTCGTCTTTCACCGCGCCTTTGGTCACTCTCCTACCCCTACGCTTCCTGCCCTCCACCTCTCCTGATCCCAACCCCTAGCTCGAGTCCAAATCCCTGACTCTCCAGCGTCTTGAGATGTCCTCTTGACGTGAAAGGTGCTGTGTAGATGTAATTTGTTGTTGTTATACAACACACATCACAATTCTGGTCGCTTTATTACAGCACATCTTGGCATTGGAGGGGGTAGGGTGAAGGTCAACTGGATAGGAAACGAGTCATTTATTTTTTCTTAAATATTTTAAATAACCAGATGGACCAGAGTGGTCTTTTCCAGTCCTGTACATGACTGTGTTCCTATCGTTAGACAGAGACTTTATATCTTTCGGGATTCATCTTATTGCAAGCGCGCATGTTGTTTTATCATACAAACCGCATCATTTGTACTTACGATTCAGCCCAATGTCATGAAATGTAAGGATGACTGGTCGCTTGGGTCTTGGGATCCCACGCACAGTGATTTGCACAGAACCACATGAGGTTTCAACAACATGCTCCTGTGGGAGAGATCAGCATTGGTTCAGTAAGATGTCAATTAGTCAAGCCACTGTATATTGCATACAAAGTATATAAAGAAATCCATTTCAGGTAATATAACAATAATAATCATTAGATTAGATATTAGATATCATGTCATTGAGATGTCTTAAAGTCCTTCACAGAATGTACTGTAAAGTGAATTCACTGTATTTTGTGGGAAAAACACACAGCCAATTGTGCCCGGCAGTATACCACAAACAGTTGTGGATTCAGGACAAAATGTTTTTTTGAGGGATTATTATCCTCGGAAAAGCAGGGGTAATAATCTGAACATAAACACACACACACAAACAACTTGTTCAATCTCTTGCAGGAGTCAAACCCCTCTCTCCCTACAATGGCAATGCCACAGAATTCAGTTTGTCACCTCCCACCTCGCTCTCCCCTGGCTCGGTGTCAGATTTACCACTGTCAAGCGCTCCGAAACTCTACCCTCTATGAAAGGCACTATATAAATGCAAGTTGTTGTGGTATTCATTCTTAACTTTAAGCTGTAAACTCTTTCAAGTATGAAGAGGTTTCAAATTTCTAAAGGGAAGTGCTAACATCTTTTTGTGAAATTATTGTTTTATAGAAACTAATCAGAAACTTTCTTTACAGACATACTGCAGTTTGTTTCCATAGCTCTAGGTCTGAGTTTATCACAAACGCACAGGGATCAGCCAGACTCCATTTGTTCCTGTGGTTCCCTCACAGTCAATACCTGCTCACCACAAACTGATAAGAGAGCATGCAGTGCTCGGGTTCACCCCCTCGCCCCCACCACCCTCAGGTTATCACATACAAAGCTACATCAGCAGAAACCCCAAGAACACGTTAATCATTTTAGACAGAAGAGGGATTAGAAAATTGACAGTTATCTTGCTCTTAGAGTTGACTTTTACATTATACTTTCTACACAAGGTTATTATGGAGATAGATTGATCAAAATAGCCACAATCCTTCCTGTTTCCACCCAAACCATTGAACAGGGGAAATATGTATGATTTTTAGATTAAGAATGATTAACACCACAAAGTACACAGTTAATCCACTTTACAATATATCCTGTGAAGCGCTTTGAGACCTCACAGCAACATGATAAGGTGCTATATCAAATGCAAGGTTTATTATTATTAACCATTTTTACACAACATTGTCCTCCCCCTCTCACCCCCTCACTTGTACAGAAAGTACACAATTGCAATAACTTCTCAAATTCATTCGGTCCAAACAAATAAGACAGAGCTAATCCCCAAACACATGCTATTTTTGTAAAATAAATCCACAAGGTGATGAGTTTCCTGGTATAGAAAGGGACTCGCTTCCAGTTTCCACCCTCCCCTGGATTGCAAGGCAACAGTTGATGAGGATTAAAAATATAATATATAATAATCCATGCATTTGGTGTTGCACCTTATCACGTCAGTGAGTGTCTCAAAGTGCTTCACAGAATATACTGTAAAGTGAATTGACTATATATTTTGTGGGCAAAACGTGGCAACCAATTGTGCACAGCAGTGCCCCACATACAGTCGTGGATTGAGGGACCAAATTTTTTTTTTAAAAAAAGGGATTATTACCCTCGGAAAGTAATCCACCAATTGACTTACAACCAGGTTCCCACTTACTGCTAAGCAACCAGAGGGGTGTGGAGTAAGAAACTTGCTTAAGGCTTCTCCCTGCCCAGGAACAGAATGCTCTAATCAATACGCTGAAGGACTCCACAATGAAAAGACTAAAACTTCAGATATAGATCTCCAAATTGGAAACACTGCTGTATTTGTATCCTTTCTATTCTTACATTTGTACCTTTGCTATTTACACATTTGCACCTTTCCTATTTTTACATTTGTACCTTTGCTATTTACATGTTTGTACCTTTGCCATTTTTATGTTACCTTCTCACCTCCTTAAAATTGGTCCGTCGTGCATGAACAAGCAAGAGTGATTAGCAATGTAGGCAGAGGCTGGGAGCTGTGCCTAAATAACCAGGTGATTTTGCTCCAGCTCTGTTTTTCTGCTTCAGCAGTTATAGACCAGTTAAATTGTAAATGTGTAACAAGGTTATAATAATACATGCATTTGATGTAGCGCCTTATCACATCTGTGAGATGTCTCAAAGTGCTTCACAGAATATTCTGTGAAGTGAATCGACTATATACTTTGAGGGAGAAATGCGGCAGCCAAATGCACAGAGCAGCGTCCCACAAACAACTGTGGATTCAGTGACCAAATCAGCATTAATTTTTAAGGGATTATTTTTCTCAGAAAAGCGATCTGCCCATCGACTAACAATTGGGTTCCTACTGACTGCTAGGTGAACAGAGGCGTGTGGTGTAAGGAAACTTGCCCAACGATTCGCCCGGGAATCGGTTGCAAGACGAGTGCTCTAACCACTACGCTACAGGACTCCAGTTTCACATGTGCTTCAGTCAGTTATCATGTTAGTTTCGTGACAGATGTCATACGTTTGCACATGCACGTAAAGTCATTGGGACCCATCACTTTGCCGTTACCCTTCCAAATACTACACCAGGCCTCCTGTTGAACAGGGTTCCGCCAAATTCGGTGATGGGAAAATCGCCCATTTTAAGTTACAATTTACCTCTAAAGACTGGCTTACCTCAGGAAACAAACACGTAATACGAGAAAAGCTTTCAATTAACCAATTTTGTGATGTCTTTAAATACAACTGAATCCAGACCATAGAGATCACAAAATTAGCCACTGTTCACTGTTGGCAAATGGGAAAAACACATTGATTGGGAGAGATTGTAAACGTGTGAAGAGTACAAAGATCAACTGAGTAAACTGGTAAGTTTACTCAGCATTGAAGGAGGTTAGCGGGGAGGCTGGGGCCCAATGCTCCTTAATGTTCGGAGTTCACTTTGCTTCTCAGTCATGAATTTACATTTAGCCACCAGAAACAGCCAAATCTAAACCCCTTGCACCACTGTCTCTTGTCCCCTTCTTTCTCTCTCTCCCCATCTCTGAGATGGATTCAGTGCAGTCGTCCAGTGAATCACTTTGCATCCCTGTAGGGTAGCGGTTAGAGCACTTGCCTCGCAAGCGAGAGGATCCAACAGCAACAACTTGCACTTATATAGCGCCACCCACGCAGGATGGCGTCTCAGAGCGCCTAACGTCTCAGACCTGCCTGGGAATCAAACTCAGACCCAGATTTTCTGGGTGTAATAATCTTCCCAAAAAATAAAATAATGATAATTAGGTCACTCAATCCATGACCGTTTGTGGAGCACTGCTGTGCGCAATTGGCTACTGCATTTTGCCCACAAAAATACAGTCAATCCATTTTACAGTGTATCCTGTGAAGCATTTTTTTGAGACGTCTCGAAGATGTGATATGGAGCTATATCAAAATCAAGGATTATTATTAATCCCCCAGCCAACAAATTACATCATATAAGGTATATGTATGTGTGGGGGGAGAAATTGCCAAATTCAACACAGAATTGGCACTACAAGCTGAATTTGTAACCAGAAACTTACAGACAGCTTCTCTGGCATCTATCCCTGAATGATTCCAGAGACTGGCCTGAACTGGCAAAAACAAAACTGATTCAGATCAGTTCTTGAGCCTCACTGCAATGCACTACCTTTAACAGACTTTAACAGACTCCGCTGCATTTTGTACAAATGAATAGTTTTCTAGTGAGATCCGATTTCCAACTTACTAGAAAACTATTCTTTTGTACAAAGAAACCCGTTGAGTGCCACCACCTGGATTTATTTAAAAGGTTTTATTTTAAAATAAAAACATTAAAAACATTTTAAAGTTTAAAAAAGAGGTTAACTTTTATAAAAGTTTAAAAACACAGTCTTTCTTGCAAAGTCAGCCCAGTTCTCCTAAGGACTGCCTCAGGAATACTCACTGTAAGAGGGTAATCGATGGAGCAAGCAGTCTCGGGCTCCTCCATATCCAGAACCATGGCTACAGCAGATAGACAGACAAATTCCAAACAAGGCCGAAGCTGCAAGTGGTTAAGAGCTCACACTCCAAACTGAGTTTTATACTGCAGTTGGGCTACACTCTGCTTTAAGCTGCTGAATCCTTGGCATTCCTCACACACTGTCCGAAAAAAACTATTTTAGGATCATACAATCCGTAAATTGGATCAGACAAGTCAGCTGGTTTGGTGATCTGAAGAATGTTGATTCTCCACAGCTTATGCTGCACAACATCAAGAAACTGGGTCACATCAACAGCAACATCTGCAGCAAGACTGCTCATACCTGCACTTGTTTAACTCGCTTCCTGTACAAGGGAGAGGAAGTGCAAAGCCTTTTCTCTAATAATTATAATAATAATCGTTGCATTTGATTTAACGCCTTATCACATCGTTGAGACGTTTCAAAGTGATTCACAGACTATACTGTAAAGTGAATTGACTTTGTGGGCAAAACGCGGCAGTCAATTGCACAAAGCAGTTTAAATTTAGCTAAACAAACAGAACTACCAATATTCTTCTTGACTGAACTGAATAGCTGATTATTAAGCAATTGTCAAAAGAACATCAAAAACAAACATCTGGCACATAGAGCAAGTTACAACCACAGACATCCATTCCATAGATGTTTCAGTGCACGGCCGGATATCCACAGCGCAGAAAAGATATGTACAAGAACAATAACCCAAAGAAAAACAGAGAATAGATATGGCTGGTATAGGAGCTATTTTTGAAATATATCCTTGCAGGACAAAATCTTAGGCAAGTTTCCTTACTCCACATGACTCTGTTTACCAAGCAGTAGGTAGGAACCCAGTTAAGTTGATTGGTGGATCGCTTTCCAGTGGTAATAATCACTCCAAAAAATTAAATAATAAAAGATAATTTGGTCATTCAATCCACAACTATTTGTGGGACACTGTTGTGCGCAATTGGCTGCCGTGTTTCGCCCACAAAACACACATAGTATATCTTATGAAGTGCTTTGAGACATCTCGAAGGCATGA